CCCGTTCCTCTCTGTCCCTGAGTTGCTCGCTGTCCCCCGTGCTTCTGACGGTGCCCCACCCCTGCTGCTGCCCGTTCTCCTGAATTAGGGTCTGGGGGTGAGGAGTGTGGGGGTGGCGGTTGTGTGTTGCTCCCCTTGCTCCTCCTCCTCCCTGGTCTCCCGCTACTGCAGCCGCCGCTGAGGGGGGTGGGTGTGTGGGAGCCTACGGTTTAGGGTTTAAGGGCGGTACCGTGGGAGTGGAGCTAGGGCTTTAGCAGGGGGTGTGTGAGAGGGGCGTGGGGCAGCTGGAGGATGTTGTGAGGAGGTAGCGGTCGTGTCGCCTGCAGCGCGTGTAGTCCGTCGCCCTTGCTTCGGTAGCCAGTGAGCCTGTTGCACCAGTCGCCAGTGGGTCCGTTGCTCCTGCCGCTCGTCTATAGCCGCGGAGCCAGTTACTCCAGTAGTCCATCGCCCTTGCTTCGGTAGCCACTGAGTCAGCCGCTCCTGTGCCCGTGCCTCTGCAGCTTCAGACGTTGCCTCCCATCTTCTCTCCTTCCACAGTTCCTCCTCCTCCTCACTTGCCCTCTGCGACTGCCTCTAGCTTTACTTGTGCATGTGAACCTGCTCTAGGACTACTTGCTCTGCTGATTATACCCCACTTTGACTATGGGGGTGTGTCAAAATGTTATTGTTCTCTAGCATGCAGTGGGGTACTCTATAGCGAGTACAACCCCTTGGGGTTCCCTATATGTATCCTGCTGCTTTCTAGTGAACCCCCTCCTTTGCTTATTCTCTCTTGCCTAGCTAGGACTTACCTAGCTATGGCACCTACCTATACCTACTATTGTCACAGCACGCTGCCGTCCCTCGACATAGGGAAGGCAGGGAGGGGCAGGGGACGGTGGCAAGGGAGGCAGTGACCTCGGGAGACCAGAGACAAGGTAACGGGACTGCATGCCACGAAGGCGCTGCATCGAAGGGTGCCCAAGGCGGTGGTGCCAGAGGACCGTCCGGTGCGACAGAGTGCGATATGAGCAGGGGGCGGACAACTGACCTGACGTAGACGCCGACGCCGCTACCTGAGGGGACTCAGTGGTCACTGTGTACAAGTCCGATCCCGGCTGCCTAGTGAAGGTAGCCAGGTGACGACCTGTCTGGGCACACGTGCAGTGTGTCACACGCTCGTAGGCAGGGGTGAACTGGTGAACACCCGCGTCCTGGTGCGCAGAACCCGCCACCAAGTTTGTAGAGAACGAGGGGAGGTAAAGGCCCGACAGTGTGCCGGACGGGACAGTAGGACAAGGGAGGGCAGTGGTGGAGGTCGCAAGGACCGGACCCCCTGAGGGGTCAGCCAGGGAGATAGCAACCGGCCTAGGGAGCTGCTCGAGGGCAGTGCGGTCGCGAAAGAAATAGCGAGAAGCACTTGAGTCCAGTGTGAAGGTGTGCAGTGCCTCAGTAGATTCAGTACCTGAAGGCGCGGACTCACAAGCACCTGAAGCAGCAGACACACCTGCACCTAGAGCAGCAGCCTCACCAGGACCTGGGGCAGCAGACGCACTAGCACCTAGAGCGGCAGCCTCACTGGTCGCAATGCCTGGGTCGGTGGCACACACAAGTAACGGTCACCCTCAACACTAATAGTCAATGCATGCATGGCTCCTAGGATAACATCAAAGTCAAGTGCAAAGACATCAATGTTCTTATTAAGCAGATCAGCCCAGCGGGGCAGCTCAGAGGCCTCAGGGAACTGTGCACGCCAGGCATCGTCGAGACGGAAGAAGCAGCGCTGCGGCGTGTTGAACCTCCCACACGTCTGACCAGTGCGGTCACCTGTGCGGATGACATACGTGCAGGTACCCCCTCCCCCAGACCCCCCATGCTGAGAGTACCACTCACGAAGCTGCTGGGACGACGGGGTCTCTCCGAGACGCTGCTGCTGGCGCTGGACACCACCCGAACCTCCACGCTGCGCTGGTCCGCCCCGACCACCACCCGTGTCGCTCCCACCACGCCCACCGCCACCACCATCACCGCCTCCACCCCGGCCTCCTCCACCACCATTACCGCCACCACCCTCGCCGCTGCCACCGACCCCCCCAGCCCTGCCACCACCCCCACCACCGCCACCACCCCCACCGCCCCCACCGCCCCCACCTCCACCCCCACCTCCCCCGCTGGCACCACCACCACCCTTGCCCCCCTTCCCCTTGCCGCCCTTGCGCCTCCAACTAGGAGCAGACGCAGCCCTGACTTCCTCAGCACCAAGGAAGTCGACAGCGGCAGCAGAGGCAACCAAGGGGAGAAGGGGGGGAGGGGAACACCCGTCAAAGAGGGGCATGCGGGGGTCGCCCAAGAGGCACCTACAGCATTGATGCTAGTCTCAGCTGCAAGCAGATGCTTCTCGAGGAGGTCAATGGTGAGCTCGGTGGGGCAGAGGGCGAGAAAGTGGTCCCTGACTGCGCGAAGGGAGTCAGGGAGGCGGACGACTAGGTGGTAGAGAACGAGGTACATCGGGGGGGGGGGGGGGGTTCTAGGCGAGGAACTCAGCAGGAAGGGCGGCGCGGAAGCGAGTGTCACTGGTGCGGAGGTGGGTAATGAGGTCAGCGACTGTGGGAAAGGCGGCAAGATCGGGGAAAAGATAGGGCAGCGAGAGACGGCCTATCGTAGCAGAGGCAGGCGAGGAGTAGCGAGCGACGACTACATTGTACAGTGCCTTAGCAGTATTATGCTGGCTGAAGTGTGCGCGCTCATCTAACGGTAGGTGGCTGCGAATGGCTAGGCGAGCATGGGCGTCACGAGTCTGCCAGTGGGAACGGGTTGTACTGTCAGTAGTGTCAGCAGGTGCTAGAGCGGTTCCGGACGCGTGGTCATACAGCGAGACATCATCGTTAGCAGTGATCTGGAGGAAGAGGTGGAGATCGTCGAGCCAAGCATCAAACTGGAGCGGACGGCCCTCAGCATCGAAAGAGAGAACAGTGGGTGTAGCCATAGTGGCAGCAGCAGCAGTAGCAGTAGCAGTAAGAGCAGTAGTAGTAATGGTTGTAGTGAAACGAACAGCTGGAACAGTAGGAACAGGAACAGCAGGTGCTGTAGGTGGGATGGCGCGGTTTGGTCAGGGCAGCGCGGCTCGGGGGGCGCGGCTCGGGCGGCGCGGCTCGGGCACGTAGGGCAGCGCGGCGGCGGGCCTAGCACGGTGGGCGGCGGAGCCTAAGCTGCAGCTGCACACAGGCCGCGGCTGGGTTCGTGCTGCAGCGAAACGCGAGCTGCAGCAGCCTACTCACGATCGTAACTGCGGGCAGGCTACGACCTGCGGGCGGGCGGCGGTGGGTCGTGCGCCGTCCTAGGGGCGAGCGGTCGGGCTCGGGCTGCAGTCGCGCGCGGGCGGCGGCCTACGAAAGCAGGGGCGGCGACCTACGGGGGGGCGACGCGAGTGCCTACGGGCGGGGCTGCGTCGCGCTGGAAAGCCAACCGGGTGGGTCGACGGGCGGCTAGCGGCTTGCTCGTGGGTGGTGTTAGCCGCGCGGGCGACCTACAGTCGTCGCGCGCGCGATTCGGGCCGCGCGCGGGCTGCTCGCGCTAGGAAAGAGAGGCCGCCCGCGGGCGGCTAGCGAGCTGCGCATGGGCAGCGTGAGAGAACGAGGCGCACGAGGGCGCGATAGTAAAGAAGCACACGAGGGCGGTGAGAGGGCACTCTAGGGCGCAAGTAGCGGAAGGGTAGGCCCTTAGTTCTAGATGGTCCTAGGTTCCTAACATAGGCTTCTGATGCCATGTTAGAATGAGAAGGATGGGGTTCAACTATCGAGAGAGTTTTACAAGTAGGAAAACCCTAAGGGGTTATACCCCGCAGAATCTACCCCACTACAGCCTACCAAGAACTGCAACATATAACATATATATGTTTGACACGCCTTTATGCGTTCATGCGCTTTCTAAGCATTTGTCGGCAAAAACATTTGAAATCATTGCCGACGTCGTTTTTATGAGAATGGAAGATAACTGGTTCGCGTGCATTATTCATTGGATCTGATTGAAGGCTCCTCTGATGCGTACGCCGGAGAGCCGCGGTTTCTTGCAGGGCGGTTCGCCTGCTTGACTGGCTTCCATGCAAGTTACAGATGTACGGTACTTCAGGCTGAGGCCCGTCAAAATTGCCGTAACTAACACTTCGGTAGGCTGGGGACAAATGTTGCAAAATGGCTCGGCCCGAACCGAAACTCGTCCTGCAAGCCGTCAGAAACCGAAACTCGCGCCGAGCCTTCAGAGCCCGAGCTAATTTGACTGCTGAATGGCTCAATCAGGGCAGTCGGTGGCGGGACACCTCGAATTCATTGGTCACTGACATGATAGGCTGCTTTAGCCAGGATTCTCCAGGTTCGCTCCGAGCCTGATCGCTCCCTCTCCAACACTCCCAGACCAGCGGACAAAACATCATCCTGAGGTAGACCTCGAGATTCCATCACGGTAGATTCTCCCTCGCCCCTCGGTTTTACCTCACATCTCTTTCACCTTCCTTTCCATTTCTCACCTCTCCTCTCTTTTGCCAACTACCAGTATAGCAATCGCCAAGTTGAAAGTCTATGCTGTTGGTATGCCATATTTTACAGGGCACCTCCTCTTCAATCAATGATTTTGACGGCGTTTTGACATATTTCGGCCTGTGATAGTCAGTGACCTGTGACGTGTTCGTGGCGGGAGCCCTAATTTTTACGTCCCAACGCAAGTATGAGTGTGGAACAGAGTAGTCGTTGATGGTAGTCCACGCGACCTTCTGACCTTCAATTTCAACTTCTGAACCTGAGAGTGACCGTCACTGCATGCTTTGCCAGATCATTCCTTGAATCTCACGATGTTGGCAGCGGAAAGACCAGAATGAAGGTTATGACGCATAGATTGCGCTCGATCAGGAGGAGAACGACGGCGAGGACCCCCGTTCCTGTATGTTCGTCCAGATCGTTCGTAGAGCCTTTCAAATAGCACCTAGAGCGATTCGTTTATAGTAGCCAGTAGAGGCTCAATAGACAATCATGATCTCCGAGGGTGGGAGGCTAGTGGATAAGAAGCCTCTGAAAGGTTATCTGCCGGAGAGGATATGCCGCGTGCTTTGCTCCTTGGCACTGGTCTTCGTGCTGTCGTTCCTCGTCTCGTCTCTCTTCTTCCTCCTCCTATCAGCGACGCTATCCCCGCTACTGACATCCCTGCTTCGCTATGGCGCTCCCGCGGAGCCAGCCGATGCGGGAGGGAGAATTGCATTCATGTTCCTGACGCGTGGACCGCTGCCATTGGCTCCTCTGTGGGAGAAGTTTTTCTATGTACGCATGCCCAAGAGTCTGCGCGGGCCCCGCTGTAAATCCAGAATTCTGCAACTGGTTTTACTAGGGTTGGAGTTCCGGGCTCACCGTATGTTCTCCTATGCACATCCTCCCCAACATCAAGCATCTCCCTAACGGAATTCCGTCCGTCCCTGTCCTTCGCTGTTCTCGTCCCCCTCTTTTGCTCACTCTCTCTTCCTGAAGGGTCACGAGGGTCGCTACGCCGTGTACGTGCACGCCTCGCAGCCCAACTTCACATTCCCCTCCAACTTCTCGCCAGCCTTCGTTGACCGGCAAATACCAGGCGGCAAGGTGCGCGCCGCACCTCTTGGCATTGTCTCTCATGCGGGTAGCTTTCTTGCGTCAACTCCGTTGTTCCTGTTGTGCGGGTAGCTTTCTCCAGATTTCGAAAAATTGGTATCCGGTTATGTGAGGATTGCTATATATGAGTGTCGTGGAATTCGCTTCTCCGAGTTCCGCATGATGAATCCGTATCGGCGTGTGTGGTGCAGGTGGAGTGGGGTCGAATGTCCGTCGTGGCTGCCGAGCGACGCCTGTTGGCCTACGCTGTCACGGACAAGCGAAACGAGTACTTTGTCCTCGTCTCGGAATCGTGAGTCCTTCGACGGGTGGTGACCCACTGAATTCGCTTCGATTTTTCCCTGTTTTTTCCCAGTGCACTCTCGCCTTTTCATTCTCTATGTGGCATTTGTCTTCCTATGCTCGCCGCGTCTCATCATCTCTCAATCTCCTTTCCCCCGTCCTTGCCATGGCTACCCCGCGGTCCACTGTCTGGCGCGTGTTGCGTGACGGTGACAGGTGCATTCCGCTGTGGTCGTTCGACTACATCCACGATTACATCTCCAGCACGCACATCAGCTTCGTCGAGGCGTAAGTGCATCATATCATTATGTATTCGAATTTCCTTCCCAACGCCCATCTAGCACACCGCTTCCCTCGCACATTCCCCCCAACCTTCCCGACCCCCACCCCGCCCCACGCTTCCTTCTTTGCGTACCCTCTCGTTGCAACACGGCCCAAAGTAGCAACTCAAGGAAAGGTGTGATGTGAGAAGGTGGCACACCTGATGAACGTAACGAAACGACTGCTTACCTATGCCTCACCCGCGTCCTCTCCCGCCTCCCCCGCCACGCCTCCCCGTCCCCCCTCCTCCCCGTCCCTCTCCAGGCACGCGGGCGAGGCGTCTGGGCGTATCTGTCTGACGAACATCCGCATGCCGCTCAACAACCCTCCTTCCTTGCCACTCCCCTCCCCCGCCCCCGCCACCCCCATTCCACCCTTCCCCGTCCCCGTGCAGGCACAGGGACCCGTTTGACGAGGCGTTCGGGCGGTACCTGCCGGACATCCACATGCCGGCCATCAGGCAAAAGGACTTCCTCAAAGGCAGCCAGTGGTTCGTGCTGCAGCGCCGCCACGCGGAGCTGGTGGTGCAGGACACAGAGCACTACCTCGTGCACTCCAAGTCCTGCCAGGTGCGGGTGGAAAGGGGAGGGGTGGGGTGGGTGTTCGGTTGGTAGGGAGGAAGAATGCAGCCCCGTGTACCATTCCCACGCGGAGCTGGTGGTGCAGGACACGGAGCACTACTTCGTGCACTCCAAGTCCTGCCAGGTACGGCAGGGAACACGCACAGACACGTCAGGTCCGAGGAAATCATTTTATGTTGTGCTGTAACTTGGCGTCACCTCCTCACCTGTGTCTTCCACCATCCCCCATAATCCCCACCACTTGCCTTCCGCCCGTGGCAGTGGAGGGCGCAGCACTCCAAGTACTGCTGCTCCGACGAGCACTACCTTCAGATCCTCCTTGCTGTATGTCGCTCTGCCCTGCCGCTTTCCACACAGGCACAACCCATAGAGTATCCTATTCCCTCCCCCCTCCCTGCCCCTCGTTCCCCCTCGTGCAACCCTTGCACTCGTGTCTTTACCCGCTCGTCCCTCCTGTTTCCACCATCAACTATCACTCTTGAATCACGCATATCCAAGTTTTGAGCCTCTCACCGTGGAACACATGTGGCTCAGTCGCCCCTCCTCTCCTCTCGGCTTGCCCTCCTCTCATCGCCTCTCTGCGCAGCTGAAGGACCCAGCAGGGATCTCGCGCTTCCCGGTGACCCTGGCGGACTGGAGCCAGTGGCGGTTCCACCCCGAGACGTACTACTCGTACAACATGACCAACGAACTCTTCAAAACCATCAAGGTGCCATGCACACTCTCTTACTCTCTACACTGGGCGGTGTGTTTCTAGGTGCCTCGATAAAATATTTGGGTTTCGTGTGCCTCTCACCATGATGTCTCCTGGTCCTCCATGTCTCAATGTCCGTGCTCGCTCCCGGCCATCCAGGTCTGCCTTAGGCTGCTTGACAGTCATGCCTACTCTTGTCCTTGGACCATCCCTCCCTGTGTGTTACTCCTATGTCTTTGTTCCCTCATCGAATTCTTCTCTCCTTTGTTCCCCTCACCATCCAAGTCATTTCTCCTTCATTACCGTCATTCCCCCCCTTTCTCCCCTCCCACTGTACCTTCCTTCCTTTCCTTCCCTTTTTGTTCCCTTCGTTTTCCCCCCTTGATCCTCCCTTTTCCACCTTTCATCCTCTTCCCCCCCTATATCATCCCTGTCGCTGATGTTTGTTTGCCTGTTGAGCAGTCCACTAAGCACTATATCCAGTACCGCTACTACTGGAAGAAGTTCAGAAATAGATATACTTATGTAAGTTGTGGCCGTTCATTCTTATCCCACTAAATACCCTGGTATTTATGTATATTCACATGTATATTCTGATGTGCCCATGCTTGTCTGGCTGTTTCTTCTGCCCATGCCCTTCGCTCCTGGCAGATTGAAAACCCTAAGAAACCCCAACCTGCTCCAGTAAGTTCTATGTAAAAACTCCTTTACTTTTCTGTCTGTATATCAAACCTCTAGTCTTGCTTAGTTATTGGAGCACAATATGCGATCCTCTGAGTGCCCTGTTTGGCTCATGGTCACTGCTGCCTTGGCAATTTCATTGCATGTGTTTTGTCATTGTGTGTGTTTTGTCATTGTGTGTGTTTTGTCTGCTTCAACACCAACTTGCTTTGTCTTGCCTGCCCTCATCTCACATGGCTGTGCACATGCTATGTCCGTCTTCGTCTCATGTGTCTCGCTGATTTGGCCTGCTCCGCAGACGGTTGAGAATGGATTCTGTGTCGTGGAGGGCACTGTGCGGAACTGCTTCCTGTTTGCAAGGAAATTCCACGTGTCCTCGTTGCCGTTCCTGCTGAAGAACTCGCAGCAGGTCCTTGGGTTTTAAAGAGTACTCTATTATGCCTAGTGTTTCTAGGCTTATTATGGGCTGGAGTCAAGCAAGCAGAGGAATAAACATGCACCATAAGGTGCTCAACTTTTGAATCATTTGAAGTTGTACAAATATCAGCAGGTGAACACCTGCTAGATTGTTACTGAAGAAAGCAGTATCGAAGCGCGAACCACATGCCAAACATTTGGATGGCTCGCAAGCAAGGCGAACCGCCTTGTAAATGGCGGCCCTGGTGTTCCCTCAATCTGACAGGCATGACTAGTAACACAGTCAAGTCGCATCACCTCCGCGGGAATGCATCCGACGACGCGCGGAATTGCGGGCTCACGCTCCTACACTGTCCCTAAAATTTGACATGCGGTTACCCTTTTCGCCTTCGGTTCTGAGCCACGTTTCCCCCTCGTCGTCCAAGCTTCTGTGGCTGCGCACGAATTGTCACTGTTCACTCGAGTTTCCTGCGAATAATAACCCTGCTAGTCCCAGAACCCCAACCACGTCTGGGGCTACCAAACGATGCAGTCTTGTTTGGCCTGATCGTGTATTTCGGCCCCCTAGCCTGGTCCCGTCCCGTCTCGTGACCCGTCGTCAATTCACCTGTCGGGTTGCCGAAACGCTGTCGGTTTGGGGCCGGGCCTGGGCGAAATCCTCCAACACACACTCCAACACGCTCATATGTCGCCCCCCCTCCAACACTCCGTTGTCATTCAATTTTCAAGCCTGCCGTTGGTCTATGGTCTGGAGAGTTCATCTCTACACTACACCTAGACAAAGCTCCAGCAACAAGAAGCTGCCTTGCTAGCTTGTTCGCCCTCCTCCAACCATACCGTTTGCCATCTGTCGCTTTTGCTTGCTTGCTCTTTGCATCTCCTCCTCTCGACGCTCCTAATTAAACGCAGCATTCGTTTTTGGCTAGTTCCGCCGAGTCATTCCCCCTAGTTTCGTCACCTAATAAGCCACACTGACGGCTGTTCGCGATTCACTGGTGAACACGATGCTGTCTCACGATAGGGCATTTAACCAAAATGTAGATCACACGACTCCATTGCTGCAACGCCGCTCCTCTTCCTTCAGATCGCTCAATGAGTCGTCTGTAAAACCCCTTTCCGCGAACACGTTCCTGCGAGTGCTTGCTTCGGTAATAGTCATATTCGGCGTATTATCTCCGCTCTTTTGGGTCGATTTTTCCATATTTACATCTGTTTTAGCGACATCTGCTTCCACAACAACTTCGCGCAGCTATCTTTACCTAGCGAACAGAAAATCGCCCTCGTCGCAAATGGACGTCAATGATCGCCGAGACCATCAAAATGGGAAGATAGCGTTTCTCTTCTTGACACGTGGGCCACTCCCATTCGCCCCGCTCTGGGAGAAATTCTTCGCGGGGCATGAGGGCCATTACTCCGTCTACGTGCATGCATCCAACACCTCCTTTGCCTTCCCCGCTGACTCGCCGGCCATTTTCAAAAACAGTCTCATTCCAGGGGGAGAGGTGAGCACGGAGAAAAATGCGTAGAACTTGCCAGAACACCGCGATTGAATGTTGCTGGACGCGTCGTGTGTGATGTTCACGAAACTGGTCTGTTACTGCGGGCCCATCATAGTTCCGCTACCAGAGTAGCCTTTTTTCTCTTGTTTTCCTTGCCTCACCTTTTTGACCGTCCGTCAGGTGCGATGGGGGGGAATAAGCATGGTGGACGCGGAACGGCGGCTGCTGACAGCGGCGTTGCAGGACCCCGACAACCAACACTTCGCGCTGCTCTCCGAAAGGTACCGGACTGGAATGACGTCCTCGCATAATGGTCGTCGCACATACACGCAGGGACGTCGCACGCAAAACAAGAACTCAAAGCAACCGCGATCTCTAGAAGTAGTTGCTTCAGATCGCCTCAATTTTCAGGTACCTTCGGAAATTCTCGTATCTCTCCACCTGAGCCTCCTTCTTCCCGGCCCCCCCAATCCTCCCCGTCCCGCACCTTCCTGTGCGCAGCTGCATTCCGCTGTGGTCGTTCGATTTCGTTCACCAATACGTCGCCTCCACCTCTGTCAGCTTCGTCGATTCGTGAGTCCAGTCCTCTCTGTCAGCTTCGTGAATGTGTGATTCACTCCAGCTTCGTCAATGCCTGACCATCTGACCCCGTAACTTACCCGGGTATGTTTTCGTTTCAGAACAGTCCTTAGAGTGTACACAGCTCTACATTCCAAAGTTTCAGCGTTACAACATAGCTCTGCATCCCATCGTAACGCTACATACCATCGTAGTGCTACATCCCATCATAGCGTTACATCCCATCATAGCGTTACATCCCATCATAGCGTTACATCCCATCATATCTCTACACTCCAGTCCATGGTAGAGCTACATTGCATCATAGCGTTACATCCCGACGTCTTCACCCCCATCACTTGCACGACGTCATGCCTCTTCAACATTCCCCTCCCCTGCAGCTACCCCGACCCCTACAACATGTCTTTCCGCCGCTACATCCCGCACATCTTCTCGCCAGTCCGTTGATCGCCGCGACTTCATTCTGCTTCAATACTCGTCTCCCTCCCCCCCCCACCCTTCTCTTCCTGCAGCTACCCCGACCCCTACAACGTGTCGTTCCGCTGCTACATCCCGCTCATCTCCAAGCCCCTGGTGGGCGCATGTTCATTCCGCTTACATGTTCCCCTCTACTCCCTCCCCCCCCATTGCAGCTACCCCGACCCCTACAACGCGACCTTCCGCCGCTACATCCCGCACATCTTCAAGCCCCTGGTGGGCGCGCAGGACTACCGCAAGGGCAACCAGTGGTTCGCGCTGCAGCGCCGCCACGCAGAGCTGGTGGTGCAGGACACGCAGCACTACGCCGTGCACAACCGGAGCTGCGCGGTGAGGCTGGGAATGAGGGAGTGGATGGAGATGGGTGGGTGCTGTGCCGTGCTGTGCATATACAATAGGGGTTGTGTGGTAAGAATGGGGAGTAAGGGCTCGGGCACAGGTGACTTGCAAATGAATTCACGTCTACTGTTTGTGATGGTGCCGGAATGGCAATGCTGGTGATGGTGGGGACAGGAAGATGCGGCTTGGGGGTTGTCTGGTGCAGGAGCACAATGAGCACTATGCTACGATTGAAGGTTTCCATTCCTTGTTCATTAGCTAGCCTTCTCTGCCTGTCAGTTCAAGCTGCCATCCCCAGTCTTCGATCCGGCTAATCTCTGCGTCTGGGCTTCTTCCACTCGTCTGCTTGCAGTTTCGGTTTCAATGGGGGAAGGTGTGCTGCGCCGATGAGCACTACATCCAAACCATGCTGCATGTGAGTCGCTGTAGACAGGCTCGCTGAAGCAAGAGAAACGAACGGATTCATGGAACACCTTCCAAATGAATGGTTTCCGAGAGCGCGAGTAGCATAAGAAATTAATCATTTTTTTTTTCGAGTTTTTTTTAATCAAAAAAATGCGGCGTTTTGATTCGGCCTGATTTGACTATGCATTCAGATGCAAGACCCCAAGGGCATATCCCACTACCCGACGACCTTTGCTGACTGGAGTGCGAACGAGTGGCACCCGAGGTTGTACCATGGGAGCAACACCACTCAGGATGTGATCCGGATGATCAAGGTAGGAATGCGACAGCCAAGCGAACGAGGTTCTGTGCGTTGGGGTGTCTGTTCTGCGTCGAATATGCACAACTGTAATGTGAGAGCAACAAGCAATGCAATGTGGCACGAGCAAGGTTACTGCATCGTTTTACTGTGCAATGCTGTATTGTGGTTGTTTGCTCTCTCTCTCCCTCTGCCTCTTTCTCACTTTCCCTCTCTCTCCCTTCCCCCGCCTGCAGTCTGCCACGCAGTTCGTCTCTTTCCGGTCCTTCTGGCAAGATTTCTCAAGCAACTACTCACATGTAAGTCCTTCCACACACTTCAGTGTCCCTCGGTGCAAGCCCCTACAACCTTCGTGCCCCTCCATCCTTTGACGAATATTCTTATTTGCTGGTACTCCTTGGCCAAACACCATGTTCCCAACATGACCCTGTTGTTTCACCAATTCTAACTCATGCTTGCGTTCATTTCATTCTTCTGGTATTGCTGGTGTTTTTTTTGGTACGTTTATCTTGCAGATAACAGATCCCAATGGCCATCGACCTCCTCTGGTTAGTATATTACTCATGTTATTGCCGTTGTGCATTTCATGCAATAAGCTCGCAACTGTAGATTAGTGTTCTGAAAGTATTCCTGCTGTTCTATCATGTGGTTGTTTCTTGCAGTCGACTGAAGGGGGCTATTGTGTATTGAATGGAGAGCCACGAAATTGCTTCTTGTTCGCTCGGAAATTTGATCTGTCTACGTTAGGTTTCCTGTTGGCGAACTCAAGAGAATTGCTAGGATTTTAGGGCTCACTGATTGTTTCTTATCATATTTGAGTCTTTTTTATCCTCATAGAGATGCAAATGATATCAGTGGGTATTTAGCTACACGCAATATTGCCGTCCACCTGAGGCTCATCGCAGACGCAACTGGTCGTACACGGTCGCTAGCATCGCACGGCCACGCCCCGCGACACCACCCAGAATGCTGGTCACCAGCAGCCTGCTGCTAATCTACAGTCCCTTTGGCGGGAAGCAGCGCAGGCAGGCAAATCAAACCCCACCCCACCCCCACCTTGGGATTTGCGTCCAGTCAGCAACTTGACGCACCTTGCTGTCTGCTGCTGCTCCTTCCGTGCGTCCACCCCACGGTTTCATCCCCGTCAGTGCGTGCGTTACGGGAATGCCATGGGTATTGTCTTTTTGTTTGGTTGACTAGTCGGAGGAATAGTTACAGCAGTTTAGGGAGACTAGGACTTAGGTCGGTCATGGGCTGTTGATTAGTATCGCTGGCGCCACGATCGCCCTTCGATGCACTAGACCTTCTAGAGTAGACGTGTATGTTTAGTTTTTTTTTCGATTGAAATGGGGGCTGAGAGATTTTGTGGGTGATAGATAGCAGCGTGTCATGGTGTCGTCGCGAGCAGCCGTCGGTGGCTGCGATGTAGCATTACGGCGAGCGCTCGTGCTGCTCGGGGCGAGATATTGCTAGACGCTTCGTATGGAACAGTCATGTCCGACGTTCTGATTTTTCTAAGATGCAGTCGCTTTTCTCTTGGCACTGATGCTGCCTGTCAGCGTTTACTTCTAGGAAGAGCCCTAATGTTGCACCTTTGCATTCGGTCATCCCGTTGTGCAATTTTAAGTTGCATGTCGCGATATTGATGAAACGCAGTGCTGACCTGACATGAGCCGGGACTGCTAATTTCTTTCATTAACTCTTACCCATGGCCTGTATGGCTCCGTAGAATTGTCCATACCAGCGCCTATCGACGCATTAGAGCAGCCTAGGACTCAGGTCATCTTTATTCATTTGAGCAACTCGACAATTTAGGTCAGCTCGACACATAAGCAACATTTGAAGTCATCTCGACGCAGCTCGTCGCATTAGAACAATCTGACGACTTAGGTCTGCTCGTCGCAATATAATATCGCAAGATCAGTCCATCAGAACGTTTTTAAGGCACCTCCGCAGTTCGTGCGAGACGTTAGTAACGCGAGTGGTCCGCGGCTCCGTCTATTCGCCATGGGGTGCGTAAGCTCCAAGGCCACGCTTAAGGACGTCGACGAACTCTCCACTGGGACGCCTGATCATCATGATGGTGACGTGGCATCTGATAAGCGGAAAGGGCAGGGCCGGCGGAAACAAGAGAAGGTTCAGCACCAACCGGCACAGCAGCAACAACCACCTGGTTCCGATTTTCAGGGGAAGTTACCCGCAAGCTCTGAACCTAGTCAGTCGCTTAGCGCGAGTACTGCCGGTGTACCAGCGTCAAAGCCAGAGGTTGGTGTAGAAAGACAAGAAGCAGAGTCTTTAGCTAAGAAAGATTCTCAAGCCGAAGCATTGAACAGTATCCCCGGTGCCATTCCGGCTCAGACGAATCATACGCAGCAGACCACCAGCGAAGCTGATGCTAACGCCAGCGCCACTGCAGGCGCAGCCAAAGAGAAGCTGCCACGTCAGCCCCTTCCGCCTGTCATCCAACCCCCACCCCCCCAAACCGGTGCCATGGTACTCGAGGTTCCAGGAGCTGGGTTCTGGCTGCGATTCTCCTACTTGACGCAGCGAGGGTATTATCCTGAAGCTCCTGGAAAGGCGAATCAGGACAGCTTCTGTGTGGTTCCCCAATTCGGAGGGCTCCCATCGGACCACCTTTTTGGCGTGTTCGACGGGCACGGGGAGCAAGGCACGCCGTGCTCGCAGTTTTCCCGGGACGTGCTTGCGCGGAACCTTCTGAACCACCCTGCGTTGGACGCGGACGTTCCCCGGGCGTTCAGGGACGCGTTCGTGACGACAAACGTGGAGCTGCACCGATCGCATGTGGACGACACCATGAGCGGCAGCACGGGCATCGCCGTGCTGCTGCGCGATCGCATGCTGTACGCAGCTAACGTGGGGGACTCGCGCGCGGTGCTGGCGGAATGGCACATGGACGAGGCCGCGGGTAGGGGAGACGGAGAGGGTGCCGAGGGAGCGGGCGGAGGGGAAGGGCGAGTCGGGGGAGACGGCGGAGCAGCAGAAGGAACGAGAAAAGCTGGTGAGGATGGAGCTGTGGTTGCAGAGGGGCAAGAAGGAACAGGAGGAACAGGGGGAGGAGGAGGAGCAGACGGGGCAGGGGGAGAAGCGGGGAAAGGAAAGGAGAAGAAGCAGGGGTACTCAGCGGGGGGTGCTACGCTGCGCGCAGTGGACCTCTCGAGCGACCAAACCCCCTTCAGAGCGGACGAGTGCGCGCGCGTGCGCGCATGTGGCGCGCGCGTGCTAACCCTAGACCAGCTGGAAGGGCTAAAGGACCCGGACGTGCAGTGCTGGGGGGGGGAGGACGACGATGATGGGGATCCGCCGCGCCTGTGGGTGGCGAATGGCATGTATCCTGGGACGGCGTTTACAAGGAGTCTGGGGGATTCGGTGGCGGAGCGAATTGGCGTGTGCGCGGAGCCTGAGGTGCTCACTGTGGCGCTGTCAGAGCGGCACCCGTTCTTTGTGATTGCGAGCGATGGCGTCTTCGAGTTCCTGAGCAGTCAAGATGTGGTTAACATGGTGAGTCGCGAGAGGTTTGGGGCATGGGATACGGAGTATGGGGCTTGGGGCTTGGGTTGGAGTATGGGACTCGGGGCATGGGGCATGGGCATGGGGCATGGGGCATGGGGCATGGGGCATGGGGCATGGGGCATGGAGCATGGGGCATGGGCATGGGCATGGGGCATGGGGCATGGGGCATGGAGCATGGGGCATGGGCCATGGGGCTTGGAGCATGGGGCATGGGCCATGGGGCTTGGAGCATGGGGCATGGAACGTTGGGCAATGGACATGGGGCATGGGGAATGAAACGAGACATGAAGCATGGGTGATGAAGCATGGGCGATAAAGCATGGGCGATGAAGCATGGGGGACGAATCATGGGGAATGAAGTAAGGGTCGTGAAGCATGGAGGACGGAACATAGAGCATGGAGCATGGATCATGTGTGTGGATGGGGCATGACGTGGGGAACAGCATGGTGCACTGGATGATTGCATCGGCTAAAAAACTGGTGGTTATAAGTGCAGCACGTGCACCTGCAAGTTTCGTAGGCTTTGGCTTGCTGGTAATATAAGCGCGTCTCTCTGCCTCCACGCCTTCCCCCCCCCACCCTCACCCTCAACCTTGCCAGGTGGCGCGGCACAACGATCCGTTTGCAGCGTGTGAGGAGATCGTGGCGGAGTCGTACCGGCTGTGGCTGCAGTATGAGACGCGCACGGACGACATCACCATCATCGTCGTTCACATCGACACCGAGATGCCCGTCAGTGCACGCTCTGCCTGTCTTTGATATCTGTCACTGCACCCTCTGCCTCTGTTGATGCCACATGTGCCCCTGCCTCCCTTCCATGCGCATCCACTCACTGAAGCACGTTGTCACCAAGTCAGGCATCTTCCCTGTCCCTGTCCTCCCAAACCTTTCCATCTCTTCCCCCTAACCCCGTATTCCTCCACTTCCCCCCCACTCCGCCCCGTCCTCCCGCCTCTCCTCCCTCCGCCCATGCAGGACAGCACCCTAGAAGCAGTGCAGCAGGGGGCAGCCCGCACCACGTCAACAGGCGTGCCGCTTCCACCCCCCACGCCGCCGCTGGTGCTGCCAACATCCACAGCTCTACGCTCCATGCTGGCGGATCTGGGTGCTTTCCAGCGCCGCATCATTGAGGGCACCGACTTTGACCGCCCCCCCGCTGAAGACGACTGGTCGCCGCCCGCTGATGTGGCTGCCACGGCTGCTCTTGTGGAGGTATCAGCGCCTATTCGTTTCCACTCATTCCAACCCCTCACTCCTCCGATTGATTCCAACCCCTCTTTTTTCTTATGACGCTTCATTTCTTCGAATCATTCAAGTCCTCACTATTTTTCCCCACGTGTTCCTCACGTGCCCCCTTTCCCCACCCCTCGCCCACGTCCTTCCTCCCCGCCCACGAGTGCAGCACCAGCTGGAGCACGCGTTGCGAGGAAACTTCCTGTTCCACAGCCTGTCGCACGAGCAGCAGGACTTGATGCTGCAGTGCTTCCAGAAGATGGACGTGGGGCCGGGCGACGTCGTTATCCAGCAGGTGAGCATGGCATGGGAGGGAGGGTGTGGAAAAAGGATTTGCTCTGCGTGTAGAAACCATGTATCTTTTGGTGAAGATGGAAGTGGGGCCGGGGGAGGTAGTTATTTAGCAGGCACGCATTTGCGTGAAGGAGGGTCTCCCACTCTATGGACTCTCCTCGTGTACCCTTTTTTACCTTTGAAGACACTGCCCACCTCCCGGTATCTGCCCTCACTCTCTCCGCACATGCGGACAACCTCCCCCGCCCCGCCTCCCCCATTCCTTCCTCCTGGCAGGGCGACGTGGGAGACAAGTTCTTCATCTGCCATCATGGGGACTTTGACGTGCTCGTGGCCACGGAGCAGGTAGGGTGACGGACGGACAGACACACCGCCAGTGTCGATCAAATAGATAGGTTTCGCTTGCTCGGGCCGTCTCCCCATTCCATACCTCCCTCCCCCACTCCCATCCCTCACTCCCTCCCTTGCTCTCCCTCCCACACCTGGTCTGCACTGCTCGTGAGTCTAGACTAGATGATATGAAGTCGTTGTCTCTCTCTGCTCATGTGAGCTCTTCCTGGTTGTGTCACGCTTTCCTGTCCTCGTTATCGAGTGTTTCAGATGGAGGAGGACCCTCTAGGAGTGGTGGTGCATCGCTACATTGCCAATGACAAGCACATGCCCAGCTTTGGGGATCTCGCACTGATGTAAGCACTGCTGAATTGCCATGTCTGTATTGTGTGTTTTTATGCTATACTTGTCCCGCAGAATTGCAGGTGAGTCATGCAACTCACAACTCTGTCCTCCGATTCTTCCACCCTCTCACTCCTTCCTTTCTCCTTCCCCCCACAACCTCCCTCAACTTCCAGGTACGGGACAAGGAGGGAAGCGTCGGTGCGGGCGGCGTCACGCGGCGTGTTGTGGTTCCTGCAGCGGGCGCTGTTCCAGAAGGTGCAGACGCTGGGGCTGGTGGCAGGCTCCGCAGAGATGGGCCCTCCGCCCCGCCTGCTGCGCCTCCTGCGCTCCCTGCCCTTCCTCTCCCCCCTCTCCTTCGGCCAGCTGCAGCGCCTCGCGCTCTTCCTGCTCACGCTTGAGCTGAACGATGGGGATGGGCTGGAGATGGAAGGGGGCACCGTGTATGTGGTGCAGGAGGGGCGGTTGCTGGTGAAGGGTGATGCGGATGGGGGAAAGGAGGAGGATGGGGAGGGCGAGGGGGAGAATAAGAGTGAGGGTGATGCGGAGACGCGTTTGCAGTATTTTAACGAGGCGTGTTTGTTGGATGGGGGCGATGGGGATAACAGGCCTGCGAATGCAGACGCACAGACAGCGGCAGGTGTGGCAGGTGGGGAGGTAGAGGAGAATGAGCATCAAGGGAAGCAGCAGGATGACGCAAGGCAGGGGCCAAGGAAGGCGGTGGCGAGGGGGCAGGTGCAGTGCTGGGCGATTGATAGAGACAAGTTTGAGGCAGCTGTGGGGCCGCTGAGCGATGCGGTGCGGGTGGATGCAGAGTGGTGCCGGTTTCAGGAGACACTGGCGGCAAAGAGGCAGGGGGATGAGATGCGACAGATCCTGGAGGGGATCGTGGCGGCTGAAGTGGTGAGTGGTGTGAGGCGATGCGAAGTGGTGCAAGGTGGTGTGAGGCGGAGCCGCTGTGTGTGCTGCTCTTTGAATGTGTGTTGTCATTATTCATCCATCCACCGGCTCTACTCCTCTCTGTGTTATTCATCTTTCCCCGTGGCAGTTTCTTCAACACAGGGCTGACTGAACCCATCGCTCTCAAGGCAAGGCAGCAAGGAGTAGGGCGAGTTGGTGCATCTGTGCGTGCTGCTTCCAGATCCCCCTCTCTCTCCCTCCATCCTTCCCCTCACCCTCTTGCCTTCGCTTCACCATCCGTCCACCCCTGAACCTTCCTTCTTCGGGGATAACAGGAGTGGCAGGACGTGCTAGCGGCCAACGAGTGGAGTGAGGTGGTGCAGCTGCGAGTGCTGCTTTCTTATACACCACCACCCCTCCGCCCCTCCCCTTCCCCCCCTCCCTCTGTGCAACAGGAGTGGCAGGACGTGCTAGCAGCCAACGAGTGGAGTGAGGTGGTGCAGCTGCGAGTGCAGAACGTGGGAAGGGTGTTTGCCATGCGGCGCTTCGGAAAGACGCGCGTGGGGCTGCACGGCCGAAGCAAGCAGGTGCGCTCTCTCCTCTCTCTCACCTCACTGGGGCTATGCTGTATGCTTGATGGGTGGGTTGCACCCACCGAAGTTTTGAAACAGGTTTGCACCTTGGCGGGTGTGCTATTCACTTCCCGCTTGATGTTAGAACGTTCTCCCAATCCCCCTCGCCAATCCCCTTGATGGCGGTCGTTGAGGCATAAAAGAAAAGGCGTCACTTCATACACACCCAGCTCCCCTCTCTCACTCTCCCATCCCTCACTCCCCCACCCCTCTCTCCCCCCACCCCTCACTCCCCCACCCCTCACTCCCCCCACCCCTCACTCCCCCCACCCCTCACTCCCACCACCCCATTTCACTCTCCCATCCCTCCCTGCCTTCTCTTTCACACCCTTCCAGGTCCATCGGGAGCGCAATCTCTTTGAAACCCTCTCAGCCAACCCGTTTGTGCCACCTGTCATCACGCCGTACACCGACCATGCCTCTGTGGGTCTGCTGCTGGACTGCCAGCTCAGCACGCCGCTGGCGCTGGTCATGGGCGGCAGGGAGGGAGCAGGCGGGCAGGCAGGGCCCGACGTTTTCCCGCCACTGCCGGAGGATGCCGCCCGGTTTGTGGCGGCGGGTCTTGTTGTTGCAATGGAGCTGATGCACCGGGTGAGTTGACCCGGTTTGACTTGCGTTGACTTGCATCTTCCAATTCATGACACGACTTCCCAATGCTCACAAACTTCACAGATTCTTGTTCCGCTTCCATCTTACGTTCCTATCCCTTCGAAAAGAAAGTCTTGTGTGGAAAATCTCTGTTCTACTGCTGTTGCGGTTCAGCATTTATCTACATGTTTCTCTCCTTCCTGCCCCCGCGCCCACCAGGACGGAGTGGTGTTTCGAGGCGTGTCACCCTCCACACTCTTCCTCGACTCTCGAGGCCAACTGCAGGTGGGTGGGGCGAGGGGAAGAGGGGTGGGGCAAAGGGAAAGAGAAGTGGGTGCAGGGAAAGGGAACGGGGCGTGGACTGTGGGGTGTGTTGTTGCCGTGCTCAAGCTATCAAGACTTGCTGCTTCTTTTCAACACGCCCACTCTTCCCTCTTTCGCGTTGTCATTTTTCCCTCATTCCGCCCATCCCCTTCCCCCGCTTTACCCCTCTCCCCCATTCCCCCCCCTCCCTTTCCTTCTCCTTCTCTCCCTGCAACTCCCCAACCTGCGTTTTGCCAAGCGTCTGGAGGATGGGCGCACGTTCACCATGTGTGGGACGCCCTCTCCGCCCTGTCTCCTCGTTACTCATCCCTCTTATTCTCCCCTTCCCCTCCCCTCCCCCCCCCAAGGCAACCCTTCTATGCAGCTCCCTGACCTGCGTTTTGCCAAGAGTCTGGAGGATGGGCACACGTTCACAATATTTTTCTTCCCTCTCCTTCGTCCTTTCTCTGACACCCCCCCTCCCTCCCCCCCCCCCCCCAACCACCTTTCTGCAGCTCCCCGATCTGCGTTTCGCCAAGCGGCTGGAGGATGGGCGCACGTTCACCATGTGTGGGTCGCCGGACTTCGTAGCTCCGGAAGTCATCGCAGGGCGTGGCCATGGCGTGCCTGCTGACTGGTACGGGGGCTGCCTGCCTGCTGGGCAGCCCATCCCTCCCTGAGTTATTCTCGCGTGCTGCTTGCACTCACACACTGTGTGCTCCTCCTCATCATGCTCCTCATACCACTGCTTAAACCCCTTCAACACTCACACATGCACTCCCCCTCGCTCCCCCCCCTCCCCGTCTCCCACCACACAGGGTCCGCCAGTGCTCATATGTATTTTCAGTCAACTTAAAACTCACATCCCCACCCCCACCCCGCAGGTGGTCGCTGGGAGTGCTCATATTCGCTCTGCTGCACGGCGAGGGTCCCTTCGGCTCGTGGAGGGACAGCGAGCTGACAGTGTACACACGCATCGCCCGCCACGCACTCTTCCTCCCCGACCACCTCCCCCCCGCCGCCTCCGCTCTCATTCACCAGCTGCTCTCCCCGCGCCCTGAAGACCGGCTCGGGTGCGGCCCTGGCGGGGCTGGGGCTATCAAGGCCCACCCGTGGTTTGCTGGCGTGCCGTGGGAACAGGTGGCAGCGCTGGATTGGCCGGCGCCGGAGGAGCTTGTGAGGAGGGTGGGGGAGGTGCAGGGGGAGAGGGGGAGGATGACGGAGGAGGAGAAGGGGGCTGGGGTGGCGGGAGAGGAGGAGAGTGCTGTTGGCCAAGGTAGAGAGGGGTCTGAAGAGTCGCTTTGGTTTGAGGGTTGGTGATTGTAGAGGGAGTGGGAGGAGGATGGAGCGTGAAGGGGGGAGAACTGTTGGAGAAAGGGAGTGGAAAATAAGTGGTGGTCAATAGGTTGAATGAGTGTTCACATTAGGGCGAAATCTGGGCTGTATGCTGCTCGTAGGATGCAGTGTCTCGGTAAAGGGTGAGATCACCTTAAAGAATGTAGTGCACATTCACGTAATTGAAGCCAAATGGGCTACAGGCACTTCTCCATGAACTTGAGGGGGGCGAAAAAGACAGGCTGAATCCGTGACAGAAAATGTAAAATACTATTACATGTGACATCAATACATAGCTGGCTTGCCCGAGTGGTCCAAGGGGGGAGACTTAAGATCTCTTGTGCTTCAGCACGCGTGGGTTCAAACCCCACAGCCAGCATTTTAACAATGGTGGGTTGGCTGAACTCCTTATCCATCTGTTTTGGGTTTTCCTTTTGAGAGAGGGAGGGGCTCGTTCTATAAGTAAAGAGTATTCTCAGGGTGTAATGTAAAGCATGAAAGAACTTCTTGTTCTCCAGACCCGTCAGATTCTTTAGTTTGCGGATTTACTGCTTGACATGGCTTTGAAAGACATGGCAAAGTCTACAGCAATCTAAGACTTCCACAACCAAGCACACTACTGGGATAAATTTAGGAAAGTCAAGGATCGCCTCCACCCCAACCCCTCACGATGACCCTCCCGGTTACCTTCCAAATCCTAGTGTTCGTTACCCTAATGCCCTTCTAGAGAATAACGAGTTAGGCACAATGTGCTCGTTGGAGCTCAGCAGCATCTGTATCTTGGATAGCTCATCTGTCGTCGTGCTTATCGTTAGTGCCTGTTGCTCTCCCCAGCAGAGGACTGGTGCCCTGCTTCCAGCGCTTCGGGTGCCCATCCTGCTGCACTCAATGCATTCACTTTCTACTCCTCACTGCTGCCGTTACTACTGCCCGCACTGCTGCCGTACTTAGCCCGCACTGCTGCCGTACTTAGCCCGCACTGCTGCCGTTACTACTGCCCGCACTGCTGCCGTTACTACTGCCTTCACTGCCCAGCTGGCCTTGATCCAGGTGTGGTCAGATTGCTAGGGTCGTGCAGAAATGTGGCCAGTATGACCTGCAGAGAGGGATTGATTTGATACGGCACTTGGTAGAAAATGAGTAAAACAATCCCCCAGTTATGCACCCTCACACCGATCCCCAAGCTCCCCCATTCATACAACCTGAAATAAACGCGAAAAGATACACACAACCAGCCACATGCATTCCCCCTCACTTCTCCTTCCCCCCATTCGTTTCCACATGCACACCCCCCAAACCCCACCAGCTGCTCACCTGCACGGTCGTGACGACAACAAGGCGCCCATTCAGTCAACCCAAAAGTCGCTCTTTCCCCACTACTTCGCCTTCCACCCCCCCCCCCCCCCCCCCCCCCCCCCTTCCCCCCTTCCCCCCCACACCCTATCATGCCAGCTGCTCACCTGCACAGGTGTGGCGGCAACGAGGCGGCCGGCCACACCGCCGCCCACAACGCGGCCGTTGGAGCTGACGAGGCTCACGCTCAGCCCGCCCATTCGCCCATCGGGGTCCGCCGGGTCGTGCGGCAGAAACGAGCCCGACATGTTCAGCAGCTCAAACCGACCCTGGGTGGGAGGGGAGAATAAGAGGAGAGCGAAGCAGGAGAAGTCGATAGTGTGGGGGGGGTGGGGAGAAGAGGGGGAAGGGGGATGGGAGGGGAAGGAGTTGGGGGCCAGATAAAGGTCGGGGCAGCATTCATGAGGGGGAGAGTGGATAAGAGTGGGGGTGGCATTCATGCTCTATGGGGTCTCAGGGAGCAAATGCGGCGGACCATCATCACGGCGCTACCCCGTTCAACCTCTCTGCACCGAACTGCACCTCGTGAATGGTAGTGTTGGCGCCGCCTGAGGGGTCGCGTAGCGTGGCGCTGGAAATAGAGCCGTTGGCGGACAGCACGCACACGCCCACGTTCGGCCCCGCCTGCGACTCGAGGAATATGCGCGTCGCCACGTCCTGCGGGGCGGGGGGGATGGGAGCGATGGGAGAGATGATCCAGAAATTAGAGTACAATCAACAAATGCCAACAAGAGCGCTTGACCTTGAAATTCTATGATTTAATTAAACGAACGTAACGATAAGGAGAATGTAAGACGCGTTTTTTTTTTTTTTTTTTTTTTTTGCAAGTCGTATTCTAAGGAGCGTACCTCATCTGGAGCAAGAACGAGCACTCGCGGATTCACTGCGGAACACACGCAGGCACGGCGGAAGGACAGACGCGGTCACGGGGACTAAGGGAAATACGGAAATTGCGGAAGGCAATATATAGAGCGTGTGACAATGGGCAAAACAAAAGGGAGAGCTTCGCCGTTGCAATTGCGTGACGCGAGGAGACGCGCGAGGAAGGTACAAACAGCAGCCGTAGAATAAAAAACGTCGCGGGTATGTTGTATTCTTTAACTAGTAAAAACAGCGACTGCCTACATTGCGACAATGGCTTGCTCGCGCTGTAAATCGCGCTGCCTGCAGCTGACGTGGCAGCTCGCTTGGACTGACGTGGCTGCACGTCATCGTCCTCCTCGACTGCTCTATTTCCCGCTGCTCTAGTGGCAGCCGCTCTGGCGGCCGCAGCCGGTACTCTCGACGGCGTTCCTACAGCGCCAGTCGAGGGGCTCGCATTATCGGGAAGAGGGTTTTTCCTCGGACGACCTCTCGGGCGCTTGGCTGGCGGCTCCGACATTCTGGCAACTATGGCGAGCTATGGCGGATGTTCTAGCAGGCAGGAAAAAACAAAACAAATATTTTTTAAATGTTGAAACACGAAACCAGTTTGCGTGGAACTTTTAATCCCTCACTCGCTGTTGTGGCTGCGTTTTCCGCGTTATACGTTAACTGCGATAATCACAGTGACAACACTCGGGGGGGAACGAACGCCGGAACTGTTTCACCTGCCACCCTTCTGTATTATTATTCTAAGCAGAAACAATATTTGCACGCTTTAAGTATTTCACTGATTATTGGCTGGTCTCTAAGGGCGTATCCCTGGGTGGTGGCAGGGCGACTGTAGCTGGCACTGTTGGTGGCATGCGCATTTTCCGGGCCCCTGTGTTTTTGGGAAAGTTGCCACTAACCTTGCCAGCTACAGTGGCCCTGCCACCAGCCAGGGATACGCCCTAAGTTCAGTTTCTGTTCAGTGGAAGGGGTAGATTATGCTTTGTCAGCCAGAAAATTCGCACAACTAACAACCCTCATAATGACCACTAACGTTTGATTCTTATGATTCATGTGAACCATTGCTCTGAACGGCATTGTATGAACTAATTCCCAAGTTACAGGTCCCTGTTCCAACAAGGGTTCTTGTTCAATAAGACTTCAGATCTAGCTATCTAAACAAAAATAACCGAGAGCTTGGCAACATTGTCTATCCAAAATCCCCAGAGACTGCTGCCACAGCAACATCCTACTACTTATTCCCTGACGACACCACACCCCCGACTCATTTTCTCTTGAACACGCAAGTATCATTGAGATACTGCAGATTGACCGGATTGAAAGCTACACTGCAGTCCATGACGTGCGTGTAATGAGTTTGCACTATCTTCCACGCCATCTCGATGCGAGATTCCACCTGTGCATGAAGTTGCATGCTGATGTACTCTGCCATGATGTCCTGACGCAGCCCCGGACCCACGCCGTATAACGGGTACATGGCTACACCCACTGATGTAGTGAAGTTGGTGAAGTTCTTAGAACTGAGAGCGAAATAGGGGACCTGAAGGCGGCACAAAGAGGCAGGGGAAAAGAGGTGGTTGAGCACAGGGAGTGGAGTCCTGGCAATTGGAAAACAAGCGGAGGATCTGTCTCGGAAAGGCATGACTTAGGAGCAGCACATCTGTGATCCTGAGAACCACTCACCCCTCCTTGCATGAGCGTGGGAATGGAGCTGTAGCCGACTTGCAGCAAACCGCCGTCGCCTTGTAGCGTGTACTTGCCGTTCGGGTTGATCGCAGAAAAGACGAAAGTAACGTTTGCGAAAAGCTGGTCTGTCGGCAAGCCGGTTCCGTCGGCGAGCTTGTTGACGATCTGGAACTCGTTGAGAGTCGCATACTGAAACCGTCGCCAGGGGGAACGGGGAGAACAGAGGGAAAAGGTGGATTCATAAGCGAAGAATTCACTGCATGACTGCAAACAATGCTTGCCTGAAGTGGATTCCGAAACGAAACGTGGGCCGTGACCCATGAACTCGCGATCCACAACGGGGGAATATTGAAACAAAGGTACTTACATCGAAGGTGTACGTGGGAGCATCCGGCTGGAACACGTAGTAAAGCGCGATGCCCGTCGCGACGGCCGCGAGGACGAGGGCCAGAATCCCCACCACAATGCAGATCGTCCAGAATCGCTTGCTCCGCTTCGACCGCCCTCCCGACGCCTCCTTAGCAGGCGGCTCGTACAGCTGCTCCTCCTCGTCGCCCTCCTCGTTGATCCGCGACGCAAGCGGCGCCGCAGCCACGCGAGCCGGCGCGCCGTAGACGCGCGACGAGCCTGGTTTCCCAGACCGCACACTGCGCATGTCGTACGACATGGTGTGCGCGGGGGAGTCGGGGACCGAAGACATGGGGGATCCAGGCCGCTCGGAGTGTGCGGGGGTCTGCACGTAGTAAGGGGGCGCGCGGAACGGGGATTGTCCCAGCATAGCGTCGTTAACGCCGGGCGTTTCGACGGTGTAACCGGGGTGCTCGTATTGCGGGGCGTAGTACGATGGGCCGTTGTTGCTGCGGGCGGAGCGCGCGGGGGAATCAGGGGGAGAAGACGCGGCATCGCTGAACGACGGTCGGGCACCGCCTGCGCCGGATTTACGCGCCCATGAAGGGGTTCGGTTTCCCGCGCTTGGGTTAGCTGGTCCGCCATAGAGAGGATTGGCTCTGGGGCCAGAGGCCGAGACGTTGCTGCGTTCCGACATGGTTACGAATGCTAACCTGCGTTTCTAAGTTCCTGTCTTCAATGGCTTCGAAGATCGTAAGGTTCGAGCCTTCCGTCTACGCTGGTTAGAGATCAATTGAGCAGATTAAGGACCACAAGCTGTAGTCTCGAACGTTTGGCACTGACTAAAGTAAAGCTGTGGGCGAAATTGTGCGATGGGCATGTGATTGCTCGGCGGAATAAAATAAAGCCAAGCCCTTGAAACCAGTGCAGTCCCAGGGCAGCTCCGAAGCCAGGGTGGTTGTGGTCGTGGAAGAGGTGTTTGAGCGAGAGTGGGTTGGATGGTGGTGCACAAACGAGCCCGCACGCAACGGTACAGCACAGCTGTGGAAGGTGACGAGGGTAGCGCGAGTTTTGCTCCCGCTCGTTAGTTGCACCGTGACACGCCAAGTGCGGTTTGGCTTGGAACGCAGGTACGGCACCCATACCGTAGGCTGTTACCCTTTGTCGGGTCTCTCGAGGGTAGTTCACTACGCTCCATGCTTTTCTCGTACACAGAGAACTTATATAAACAGGCCGTCTTGTGTTTTCTTCACCAAACCACTTCTGCAGTCACATGAGTTAGTCGGGAACGGGTAGTCACGTACCAAGGGGAACATGGAAAAGGTACCCCTTTTTGGAAGGTTTGTCAAACATTACGCAGAATGCAACTCCTTTCGCACACCGAACCTCTCAGCTGGACGTTAGTGGTCGAGGGGAAGCGCGCGAAGCGCCCACCTTCCCGTGACACACGGCTGGTCAGGCTCTCAGACCGCGGTACGCGCTCCGCTGTGCTTGCTCGGAATCGTCCGTCGATGACAGCTTTGGTGAATGCGAGCCCTTGGTTGATTCGAGATCTTGGGGGCGCAGGCTGCTTATGAATAGCATTTTACCGAGAGTCCGATTTCATCGGATAGCTTCGACTTCGTGCAATAAGGTCAACCTCGTTTGAGTCAAGTGACACACAACGGAACTCAGACATGATAAGCATGCTGCGTCGACCAAGTGGCCCTCATCTACACAGCACTAATTATTTAAAAATAGAATACATTAAAACAAGAACCATAGCACCATATGGTACCATGACAACCAGCCAAAGATTACCGTACATGTCCTACGCCCTCCTATTTTCTTCTACCATGTTCTTTTGAGTGGCATCTCGAAGCTTGAGAAGGAAATGTAGTGTATTGGCATAAGCGGGGTCAGAAGTGTTGACTGGCTTGCAAGCATTGATGTGGTCAGTCCCGTCCAACACCTGCAAGTTACACGATGACAAGACGATGGCACAAACCATGTGAAACCATGTAATGCATGCAAAGTCATGCGCCAGCAGAACAGCTAGCAACCAAGACACTAGAAACGGACCATACTGAAGGGCAACATGTACCCCACTGATAAGCGCAGCCAGCTCACTCACCACAAACTCCCCGAATCCCGGGTAGGCCGACTCCAGTGGAACCACCTCCAGTCGTAGCGTCAGCCCACCGTAAGTCTTCACCAGAGGCGTGACCTTCGTCTGGACATGGGTGAGCCCCCAAAAAATCGGACAAACGGCAAACTTAAAAGGAGGGGAGAGGTGGGGAAGGGGGGCAAGTGCATCAGATCCAACGGTTCGCAGTTCCCCTCACGTAGGCATGCCTTCCATTGCACCCGAACCCGAACCCTCCAAACCCTCCAAACCCTCCTGTTTACTCACCCAAAAAAACCGTTTTGTTATTGTGACACTCATTGAACAATCTACTAGCGAAGCCCCTGCTTCTTCATCCCAACTACACCATGGCCTCTCCCCACCCGCGCACCTCAGCAAAGGAGAGCACTTGGATCTTGCCCTGCTTGTGCATGTGCCTCAGCATGGTGTTGAGACCCTCCACATGGGGCGACGACATGCGCAGACAGTCCGCCTGCATGCACCCACGTTCGGAAACACATGGAGTTTTGAGCAAAGCGAATCTTGAATGTAGATAAGAGTCGCGTGATGAAAGCAGCGTGCAAGGGAGGCGATGACACGTGAAGTGACCTTAGTCAGTGAGCCAGAAAGTCACACAGCCAGGCAGGATTATGGATGAGGGCAGAACGCACGAAAAGAAGCAGGAACTGCACCAGCACAGCAAGAAGCAAGGCACATCGCCTGCATTGATTTCACAAGGGTTGGCAAAGAGGAGGGAGGAGACGTACCGAAGGTGCGGGCCGCAGCACAGCTCGGGCTCTCCAGGAGTAGTCTGCAATCCTGCTGCCAAAGTGCGGCACGGAATAGAATACCTGCATGGGGCAAGGGGCAAGGGGGAAACGGGCATGGAATAATGGAATTGAGTGTAGCTGTGGGGGGAAGACATGAGCCATGAGCAGGAATGCATCAGGCATACATGGAAAGTTTTCTCCGGGCATGGAGCTGCACTCACGATGCCTGCTGTGCTGTCAGCCACATCTCACGTCTCTGGCATGTCGCTGGCACGCGCAAGGGCGAGCGTCTGCTTCACGATGAGCCCCCCCATGCTGTGCGTCACAAACGCAAGAGACCAGCCAGCCATAGGCCCACTCACAATGCCTGCTGTGCTGTCCACTAAGGCTCAAATCTCTGGCATGTCGCTGGGACGGGTGAGGACGAGGGCGAGCATCTGCTTGACTATGAGCCCACCCGCCCATGCTGTGCGTCACGAACACAAGAGATCAACCATACGCCCACTAAAGGCACGTGACAGTGAAATATGGGCGCTCACAATGCCTGCTGTGCTGCCGGCGAGGGCTCGAATCTCTGGTATGTCGCTGGCACGCGCAAGAGCGAGCATCTGCTTCACAATGAGCCCGCCCATGCTGTGCGTCACAAACACCACTGGCCGCTCGCCCACCCCCGCCGCCACCAGCTTGTGCAGTAGCAGAATGCTGATGTCCTGCGGGGGGGAGGAGGGAAGGAGGGGGGAGGGGAGGGTAAAAACAGGACATTTGAGACGTCTCGAATAGCTCAGAGACAGAGCCCGCCTCCTGCCCACTCCCGCTGGCACCAACTTGTGTAGCAGCAGAATGCTGATGTCCTGCGGGAGGAGGTGGGGAGGGAAGAGACAGAGGGCAGGCGGGCCAAGCGAAGGCAATCAAGCTCCCATAGGCATCTCACCATCGGAAAGAAACAAGAAAGAATTATCATGCACGCTACGAAAGCAGCGGTTCGCAACAAGAGGTAAGTAACGAGAAGAGGGATCATTCGGGCGACGTGGGAGGCACAGCACTTGCCTGTAATGGAAGGGTTGCCCCTGCCCACTCCGATAGGTTCGTCTGCAACGAGAATGAAGAGATTGACAGGTTTGAAGAAGGGTGGAAAGAGCATAACGTAAGCAGACGGGAGATGGGACAGAAACGGGCAGGGTTGAGAGGTCAAGAAGAGGAAACCGAGCTTTGGGACGTCTTCAAGCGCCTTTGCACTCTTCATTCGGTTGACACATGAATGGACTGAGATCCGCAATGACATTAAGATAGCGCATGGTTCCAGACTCGTGTAAAAAGAAACCGGGAAAAGAAAGGGAGGAAAAGCACACCCTGTATTTGGTGGTGAGGATTCGTGCATCAGGCAGGTCCCTAGCGAGCCAGTCACAGGGCCAGCACGACCCCTTCTTGCCACCCTCTTCCTCCTCCTTCAGTGTCGCCTCCAACAACTTTGACGGCTCCACCTCACCCACGCTCTCCCCTCTGGCATGTATTCCCTCCTCCGTATCCCCCACGCTCTCCCCTTCCTCCTTCCCTCCATCCCTTTCCCCACCTCGCCTCACAGCCTCCCTCCTAATATCCCCACTCATTACTCCTGCCCTACCCTGCCCCACACTCTCACCCCCTCTCTCATTCTCACCCACCACCTCACTCACTCTCGCAACCCCACTCTCTCGCATCCCTTCTCCTACCACGCCCTCTATCCTTCGCTCCTCAACAGGGCCCAAAACTACAGGCGCTTTTGCTACAGACGCCCCCGTTACAGGCGTCCCTACTGCAGGCAGCTTCGCAACAGGAGCCACAGCTGGTCCAGGAGGCGGCGCTACAGCAGGCACTGCCTCTCCCCTGCGCCACGACTTGAAGGGTCCGCCCCTCAGCCCGTGCACAAACACCACATCCAGTAGAGGCGCAGGGGGCATGCTCACAGAGGAGCGGGCGGGGGCGGACGCAGAGGAGGCGACAGAGGAGGAGGAGGAGGAGGAGGAAGGTGAAGAGGAAGAGGAAGGGGAGCAAGAGGAGAGGGGGGAAGGGAGGGAGTGTGCTTGGAGCCAGGGACTGGTGGGGTTGACAAAGAAGATGCCGTCGTCATACCTTGGCGTGAATCGCTTCCCTGGCTTCTGCCAGCCTGGCACCGCCACGTCACACTCATCCTGACAGCCTGGGGCTGACGTGGCAGTATGGCTTGCAGCAACAGAAGCTGTCCCTGGCAGAGCATGCGAAGTATCAGGCCGTGGCAGAGCATGCAGGGCGGGAGCGGCGTGTGAGAGCACCTTGCGGGCATTGGATCGCATCTTCTTGCTCACACACGCGTGACACAGCAGACGGTCATACTGCTCCCAGTCAGGCTCCCACTGTTCGGACCTTCTCCTGCCATGTGCTGACCGGAGCACGCGATGCAAATGAGCCGTGTCATCCCGCTCTCCTCTCCTATGGCTTTCTTCCGCCTTCCTCTTTCTCTCACTCCCTTTCTCACTCGCTTCCTCACTCCCTCCGCCTCTCCTCTCCCTCGCATTCTCACGCGTCCCCCCTCTGGTGCACTGTTCAAGCCAGCCAATAAGAAGCGGATCTCCAGCGATTGCCGCCCATGAGTCCGGGTGAGCTGACAGCTGGGCCAGTAGCCGGGCGGCATTCCTTTGGAGCTTTGTGAGCTTACCCCTGGCCGCTTCCAACCCCTCCTCTCCTGCAGCATCAGCAGGAGGTGCTACTGCAGTACGAGCAGGAACCACTGCTGTGGCTCCAGCTGTCGCAGCTGCTGACGTAGCACGGACTGATTGGGAAGTTGTTGAACGGGAGCCTGGCCTTAAGGTGGGCTGGGAGCCTGTGGGGGAGTTTGGCTTGGCAGTTACAGTTGTAGTGGCAGGTGCAGTTGCAGCGAGACCAATCAGAAGTTCCTTCTTTCCACACTCACCCCCAACACTCGCACCACTGCTACTCTCGCCACCAGCACTTTTATTGCTGCTGCCTTTGTTTCGATCGGTGCTGTGCTGACGACTGCTGCTGTGATAGTTTCTGCCATCCATTTGGCTCCGACCCTCCCCGGCATCAATACCCCCCGTAGCCCCATTCTCATCCCCACACCTTACCTCCCCTTCCCCTCTCACCCACTCCCAGTACTCCCTACCAATTAGCAGCCGCCGCATCAGCTCCACCCCTCCACCTGCCACCAGCTGCTCCTGCATCTCCCAATCCTCGCTCGCCAGCTCAGCAAGCGCTTTCACCGCAGCTGCAGCCGCATCCAGAGCCTCCACAACATTCACACGTGGAGGCTCATCACTGGCTGAAGGTTTATCCTCGTTAGTAGCTACCAGCCCTGACCGCGTAGAGTACAACCCTCCTTCAAAGCCCAGCAGATCCATTAAATGCTCGTGCTCCTCTTCCGCCACTTTAACCAGCTCATCTACAGTAACATTCACTGTAGCATCAGCATCCTTTCTTCCAGTAGCACCAGAAACAGCAGGAGCACCAGCAGCAGCAGCAGCTTGGCTGGATCTGCTGCTGGCCTCACCTGCATCGATTACTACCGGTACAGAGTCCTCTCCTCCCGTTTCTCCCAAACCCCCTTTCTCCACACCTACTCGCACTGACCCCTCTACCTCTCGCCCCTCTGAACGCACTCTGCTGCCTTCCCCCTTCCCAGACCCCAAACCGCCATTCACTTGACCCGTTCCGCTCTTCCTTTCCCCCACTCCGCCCCTTCCACCACCCGCTTTCCCCCATCCCCACGCCTCGCTCCCAAGCGCCTCCCCCAGGCGAACAACAGCAGTGCTGGCGGACCTGAGAGCCTCGTCCCTCACAGCGCGGTGCTTCTCACTCAACGCCCCTCCCAGTGCACCTCTCACCTCCCCTCTCACCTCTCCAGTCACCGTCCCGCTCACTGCCCCACTCCTCTGCTCTCCCCGCCCCCCCGGGGCCTGCCCTGTGCCTGCCCCCGCTGCCTGTCCCCCTGCCCCAGCCACGCCCGAGCCACTCCACGGGTTCACATATGACCACCATGACTTGTCTCCTGCACTCCCACTTGCACTCGCCCCAGCTGTCCCCCCATGCAAACCCTTGTTAGATGCTGCCACTTCCCCCAGCAATGCTTGGCTTTCTGGAGCTTTCCCAGCAGGATGAACCCTACCGGGCTGATCTGCAGGTGAGGCTGAAGACCCTCCCGCCTCTGCTCCCTTCCCTCCTCTCCACAACGACTCAAGGTACTTCATAGTCGCTACTGTCATCCCCACACTCTCCGTGCTTACTCCCTGCCTCCTTGCCTCTCCCTTCCTGCCCACACCCCCTACTTCCCCTGAGCCCCCTCCCGCCCGTCCAGTTTTCACTGCCAGCCTCGCTGCCTCCCCATCCCGGACAGCACACATGAGCATTTCAGAGAGCCACAGCAGGCCTACTCCCACCGCCACATCTGTCATTTCCTTACCAGCTTCGTACCTTTCCACTTTCCCCTGTTCTGCATCCACTCCTGCCTGCCTCCCTTCCACTGCTCCATCAGCCTGCCCCCCTACTATTTCAGCTCTTCTCCCCACCCGCCTGTTCCTCCGCCCTGCCGTCCCTCTCAGGCCTTTCTCTTTCTCCTTCTCTACAACTACCATTCCTCGCTCCAACTTCTCCCCCCTGTCCTTTCCCCCCGATGCCACATCAGCCCCATGCGCATCCATAGCAGCAGCAGAAGAATGCGAAGAGAAAGAGACATCATGTGCCATGTGAACAGCAGCAGATAGCACCTCCACGAGAACAGCCTGTCCAGCTGCTGCAGTCGCAGCAACGGCAGCAGAGGGCACCAAATTCGACTCCAAGAAGCTCCTAGCCGGCCCTCTTCTTTTGCCTAGCAACCCTGCTGCTTCTGCACCTCCTGCACCTCTCTCTCCTGCTGCTGCTGCTCCTCCTTTATCTCCCCCTGCTCCTCCCTTTTCTTCCACTCCTCTTTCTCCAATTTTTCCTGCTCCTGCGTTTGATTCCCCTCCACCACCCATCACCCCACACGCCCATCTCACCAGCACCGGGCCCCACGCCCTCAACTCATCCGCAGGCATCACCACTGCTGGGAGTGATGGTGTGGAGCGGAGCTGGGCTGGTGACAGGGCTGATAGCGCTGCTGTTGGCGGGGCTGCTGGCGTTGCTGCTGCTGTTTCTGCTACTGCTGCTGCATTTTTCGCTTCTGCTGCTGCTGGCGACGCTACTGGTACTGGCACTCCTGCCGCTACCAACGAGCCTCCTGCTGCCCCTATCAGCCTTCCCACGGCCGCCGCCTCATACACTCGCCGGCCCAGCACAAGCGATGCTACAGCCTGCGCTACAGCCAGATTCACCACCTCCTCTTCCTCGGCCTCCTCCCATTCCTCCACACCACTGCCCCCCTCAGTTCCCCTCCTCTCCTTACTCTTCCCTGCTCGCACACCCCCTGGGGGAGCAGCTTGTGCAGACGGCACGTCAGAGTCACGCCTCTTGGTGGGAACACCAGGGACAGAGGAAGAGGCAGAGGCAGAGGCCGGAGCAGAGCCAGAGGCGGAGGTAGCATGCGTGGCAGCAGTAGTGAAAGAAGCCAGTACACGCCTTAGCTGTGGCAATGCCTCCATTGCAATCCCCTCTCGCAGAGAAGGCTCAGCCCTGCTGACATCACTTCTCACGTGGGCCACAACATCACTGATGCGGGCCACGTCATCGCTGATGCGGGCCACGTCATCGCTGATGCGGGCCACATCATCGCTGACGTCTGCAAGTGTGCGCAGGGCATGCAGCGCGGCAACCATGACATCAGTGCTTCGTTGCTGAAAGGCAGATGAAGGAGGGCTTGCTGAGTTGAGCAACGCGCCAGACCAGCTGCGTATGGCTGCTGGCCTCACAAACAGACTTGCTGCTGCTGCCCCTGTTCCTCCTGGCCCTTTTCCTCCCGCCCCAGCTGCCATTCCTTCTCCCTTGGTTCTCCCTTGTTCCATCGTCCCACCTTCACTTCCTGACCTCTCCTCCATCTCCCTCCCTCCACCCACGATTTTCTGAGACCCCACCACCACAGCATCCCTCCACCCTGCCACTCGTGCGCCCACCCTGCTTAACACACCGTCGCCTTTCTCATCGTTCTCATCGCCTTTCCCTCCAAATAAGCACATCTCCTGCTCCCTTGCAACCCTCCCAATCGCGCGTGCCACGTGGAACCTCACCATTTGTTCAGGCGCCATTGCGCCAACGGCCAGAGCATCTCCCTCTTTGTCCATCCTGGCGATGAGCTGGCAATTAAATGCTGACGTGGCAGTCCACTTGTCAACTGCCCATGCTGCCAGCAAGGCAGCTACTGACTGGCCTGGCAGATCGTCCCATAGCCCAGGAGTTGGAAAAGCATCATCCCATTTCCTTCCCTGCCCACCCTGCCCAGTTCCTGGAAGTCTGGCCTGGTCAAACGAGTTAATCCTGGTCCTCTCAAAAAGAAATCCTTCATCAGCAACACTTCTGGTCCTGTAAGCAAGCACGCCAGCCTCTGGAGCACAGACACGTGGCATGGTCTCATTGGCTGCATCGATCATGACTCCCCATATGGTTGTGCCAGCATGACCCCCAAGTCCAATACCCATCCCCCCTGATCCCCCATCCTCCCCTCCCCTGCCTCCCTCTCCTCCTCCTCGCTCTCTTCTCCCTTTCCCCCTTTCTCTTCCCCTCCTCCCTCCCCACGCCCACCAACCACTGCTCTCCTCCCTTTCTACAGGCTCCCCCCATGTAAGCACATCCAAGGCCGCCCGCACATCCACCTCAGCTGCCCGTTCAGCCAGGTCAGGCCCTCCCAGCGGCTCAATGGCGGGCCTTAACAGTGAAGCTGGGCGGCGTGACTGTATCGAATGTTGATTTAGGGGGGGTGGTTCAGTGAGAAGGTCCATGAGTGCGTCTATGAGGGGGTGATAGCGCAGGAGTGCACTTGACAAGCGAGCAGAGGAAGGCTTCGGTGTTAAGTTATCACCACCCGATGCACTGTTGCCAGCACCTGAGCCATCACCAGCACCTGAATCATCACCTGTACGCTCCCTACTGGAAACACCAGGACTGGCATATGAGCTTCTCCCCGCCTCTACACTAGCCGCAGAATCCAATGGTGCTATCCATGTCAAAATTCGCTGAATGCTGCCATCTCTATTCAGCACTCTCGGTGCCACGTCAGCATCTCTCAACAAGCTAGCAATTGCCCGAGCCGCCTCCCTCCTCACTCGAGTATCACAGTTCACAAGCCCTTCCAGCAACCAATCAAGCACCTTCCCTTTGCTTGCGTCAGCAATCGCTGCCCTGCTGGTGCTGCCGCCTGCCGCTGCCAGATCAGCAATGGTCCTTGCCACGCGTGCAACCCACGGAGCACCGTCAAGAGACGGGGGGAGGGGAGAGGGCCTAGGAGCAGACCTGTATCGCCTCAAGTCAGGGCTCCTTGTTTCCTGTGCATTCCGCCTTTCGTTATAATCACGGAGCTCCCACACATTCAAATCAGGAAGCGAGTCGGAGGAGAGGATGGCAGCTAAGCATCGAGCCAGAGCTGCTGTTGCCACGGCAGCATCCCGAGCCTGAGCACCAGCTTCGGCAGCTGCAGAGGCTGACTGAGAAGCGCTATTTACAACATGGTCCCTCAATCTCTTGGCGGAATCAATAGCTCTAGTGCTAACGGTTCTGACTGAATCGGGGACAGGGAGGGAGAACCCTTTCTCGGATGAGTGTTCAGGAACTGAGGAAGAGCCAGGGAAGTGTCCCTGCTCAGGACGGCTCGAAAGCGCAGACGCCAATATTGCTGTAGCAACTGCTGCTGTTAGCACCCACGGGAAAGACCTGGGCCTCCTGTTTGACAGCTTGAAGCGGTCAGAAGCTAACCACCTCTTCCCGCTTCCGCTCACACTCTCCCCAACACTGGAGACACCACTGCCGTTGCTGTTGCTGAAGCTGGTACTACTGAAGTTCCTCAACCCGCTAATGCTGCTGCCCTTGCTGCTGCGATATCTGCTCTCTTGAATAGCTGTCGGCTTGAGAAACGAATTACGCAGACTCAAAAAAGCAAGAGACGCTGTGCTGGAAGCATGTGTTTCAGAAGCTGCTGATTTGCCTGTGGCTCGTCCTGATCCGCTATAAGCAGCAGCTGATGCCGGTCCCGGATAAGGGTAGCCTCGTAGCACTCTTGGCCGTGTAACCTCTAACCTTCTTATGGACTGCTGAGATGGCACCTGTAATGCCAAGGTGGTTCTGACATGCGACGTGATGCCAGCGGTCCAGCTGAGAGGGGTATGACAATGAACGCTGTTCAGCCGCCTGGCTGAATCAATGAAAGCAAACAAATTTTGGGTAGGAAACGGAGACACCTTCGTTAGACCTGGTTCTTGAGCATGTAAAAACCGTGTCCCATACAGCATCGAGTGCCTGCGTTGCAAAAGAAAAGCGGTCGTGCCGCTTCTATGTACAGGGGTCGGCTGGGGCCTGGTGATGCCTGGTGGAGTCTGAGCCGCTCGTGCGGTCGCCGTCGGCTCTTCTTCGTTCAAATGGTTCGTCGTCATGACGACTGAACGCTGACTAATGAACTCTCTATCTAATCTCCGGATTCAGCCACGAGTCTTCATGTCACAAAATCATGAAACCAAAGCTGATGAAGTAAACTCCACTGAGCGACTGCTCTGCAAAAATGGTGAAATCAAGGAAAAATATTGATATTGTCTCATCAACTATGACAGATCCGGGACCTGGAGGGCTTGATGCTAGCCCAGCTATGTTTTCTGCAGCCAATGAGTGCTGGTGAAGCTGGTCATGCCACGAGCACACACTCGAACATGACGTGTCAGCTTGCTTTTTCAGTATACAAAAGCTCAGTAACGTAGCTGCACCCGACAAGTGTACTCGCCGTGTTTTGCATTAACAATCCGTGGCGAATATTAGCCTTTGTCCTAATTGTCCGTTTTCGGTGTTTGAAATAGTAGAGCGGTTGATTAAGCTTTTGAGAAACAGAACGGCGCACCCTCTGCGGTGGTCCCAGCCTCCTCCGATCTGACACGTGTCGGATAAATGCGCAACATTCGACCCAGGAGAAAGCGGCCAGCCTATGTGATGACGCAACATTTCAGATCGCGCGGGCCTACCAGTCAGCTTTGAGAATGTCTGCGCCGAGTTGGAGAAACTTTCGAGCTTTACACCGTGGCTTCCACGTCCTCTTAGCCTCCACATTCGACATTGCCAGGTCAAAGCCATCCTCCAATCGCCCAGCGGAGCAGCCAGATCGACGTCACTTGCAATTTCCTCCTCGAATAAAAATCCAGAGGGGCAGGCCGAGCCTCTCACGGCAGCCAATCTGGCGCCGAACCCAGTTCCTAGGCGTTTCTGCTGCTCCTATGGGCAGGGACTTTGGTCTGGGATCCAGGCAGAACCCCGCCAAACGTCCAGCTCAGATTCCAAGTCCTGAAACAGTGACCGACACGTGGAATCTCGAAATTGCATTGCCTGGTTCCATCGCATTTCACACGCAAAGGGCCCCTTCAGGCTCTGCGGCGCGACTCGCCTCCATCCAGCCCAATCCCCTCACCCCTCCCCTTCCCAATCCTCTCTGTGTTCCCACGTTCCGCTCTCCCTCCACATTTTAGCAGTCCCTGCCTTGCTGGCGCCGTAAGCCATAAACTTTTCAGCATCTCTTACATGTCTCATTCAGCAGAGGCTGATTCTCGGATTAATTTCGCATCTTTCTTATTCTTGGGCTCTTCTGCGATTGTCTCCACTGCCAACGCATCTTCAGCCTTTAACTAAACTCCTACTGATCTCCCTTCGCCGCCATGGAGGCTGTGGCCAGCATTGGCCTTACGGCTCCTGCCGCAGGCCTCGCCGCTGCAAGTTGCAAGAAGCGGGTAACCCTGTCGTCAACTTCCGCTCATTTGGCTCCGATCGCCTCGTCCGCCAAGGCCACTTCTCAGCGGCGCTCTCAGGATCGCGTGATTTCCTCCAGCAGCTTCAAAGCTGATGTGTCGTCCCTCGTCGCGGAGACCCCGAGGCGGAGGCACCACTCCCGCCGGTCACTTTCCGTCCGCGCGAACGCCGCTGCTGCCGCCGCTGATTCCGGCGAGCCTGCCGGATCGATCGCGAAAGCTCCTTCCAAGATCCTGGGCGTGGAGGTGATCACATTGAAGAAGATCATCCCCCTCGGTATCATCTTCTTCTGCATCCTTTTTAACTACACCATTCTCCGTGACACCAAGGATGTGCTCGTTGTGACGGCGCCCGGAAGCGGTGCCGAGATCATTCCGTTTCTGAAGACATGGGTGAATCTGCCCATGGCGATCGGCTTCATGCTGCTGTACGGCCAGATGGCGAACGTGTTGAGCAAGCAAGCGCTCTTTTACACGTGCATCATTCCCTTCCTCGCCTTCTTTGGAAGCTTCGCGTTCGTGATCTACCCGCTGCGCCACGTGCTGCATCCGACGGCGTTCGCGGAGCATCTGCTCTCGGTGATGGGCCCGCGGTTCATGGGTCCGATCTCCATTCTGCGCAACTGGTCCTTCTGCCTCTTCTACGTCATGGCTGAGCTCTGGGGCAGCGTCGTCGTCTCCGTCCTCTTCTGGGGCTTCGCCAACCAGGTATGCAACTTCTATGTGTTAACTGGGCGCCATTTTCTGGAATTTAAGTTAACAATTGGTCTTTTGTGATCATCGTTTTTTTTTTCCGACCCTGTCTTTCTTAACGAGTTTAATTGTTTATGTCAATTGTAATGACATTGCAGATCTGCACTGTCGATGAGGCGAAGCAGTTCTACCCGCTGTTCGGTCTCGGCGCCAACGTGGCGCTCATCTTCTCCGGCCGCACCGTCAAGTACTTCTCTGCACTGCGCGGGCAGCTGCCGCCCGGCGTGGACGGGTGGGGCATCTCGCTGCAGGGCATGATGTCGATCGTGGTGGCGTTCGGGCTCGTCATCTGCGGCGTGTACTGGTGGGTCGACCGCAACGTCGTCAACGACCCCTCGCTGCCCAAGGGCACCGGCAAGAAGAAGGTGCGCCCTGGGGGACTGGACTGGGGGATTGTGAGAGTGGGTGGGAAGATTGAAAGATGCGTTGGATGGAATGCGGATAAGGGAAACTGGGTTGTGATTGTTGACGGCGTGTGTGTAATTTCACTGAGAGCCAACATTGATTTCCGGAGCTGATCCGATGTGTTCCACGTCTTCACTCTCCGCTTCTCACATGCTTGCGGTCCCTTGTTTGTCTCTCCTCTATGTGCTTGTACCGAACGCTGCTTGTAACAGAAGTCGAAGCCGAAGATGAGCATGGGCGAGTCGATGAAGTTCCTGCTCAGCTCTCGCTACGTGCGCGACCTCGCGATGCTCGTCGTGGCGTACGGAATTTCCATTAATCTCGTCGAAGTCACCTGGAAGAGCAAGATCAAGGCCCAGGTGAGGACTTGACTCCGGTTGACCTGCGTTGACTTGCGGTGCGTTTAACAACGTGTAAATTGACTTGATAAGAGCCACCAGAAAGCGCCCCCTTTTGAAAAAGCGAGCACTGCTGGGGATTCTAACCTTCAATTTCGTTTTCAAACGCTCACCTTTGCTTCTTCTTCAAACGAAGCCACTATCTGGAAGTTGTGGGGTGTACATTAACCGTCGCTAATAAATCTGCTCCTTTTCCCTGTGCAGTTCCCGAACCCCAACGACTACTCGTCGTTCATGGGCGACTTCTCGTCCATGACGGGCATTGTCACCTTCGCCATGATGCTCCTCTCGCGCGTCATCTTCCGCAAGTACGGCTGGGGCACCGCCGCGCTCATCACGCCCACCGTGCTCCTCCTCACTGGCGTCGCCTTCTTCGGCCTCGTGCTCTGCGGCGGCCCTCTCACGCCCGCGCTCGCGAGCATCGGCATGACGCCTCTGCTGGCCGCGGTGTACGTCGGTGCAGCGCAGAACATCTTCAGCAAGAGCGCCAAGTATTCCCTGTTTGATCCGTGCAAGGAGATGGCGTATATCCCTTTGGACGAGGAGACCAAGGTGAAGGGCAAGGCTGCCATTGACGTGGTGTGCAACCCTCTGGGCAAGTCCGGTGGCGCTCTGATTCAGCAGTTCCTGATCTTCGCGTTTGGGTCGCTGGCCAACTCGACGCCGTACCTGGGTGCTATCCTGCTGGGTATTGTGGTGGCGTGGCTGGCGGCTGCACGGTCGCTGGATGCGCAGTTCACCCCTCTGGCCGCTGAGGAGCTCCAGGAGAAGAAGGCCGAGGCGGAGGAGAACAAGCCTGAGGAGGTGAGACTTTTGACTTGTGACATGGATTGGGATTTGGGATTCAGGGTTTGAGGTTTCTATTTGCACCTTGGGTTTTGGCCAAGGACAGTGGTTTCGATTACAATGGCAATGCTTCTTCTATCAAGTTGTTTGTTGTGTTGCTGATGTATCCACCTTATGTGTGCTGCTCCTATGCGGTATGCAGGTTGAGCTCAAGTTTGTGAGTTCCATCAACGACAAGGGCTTTATTGAGGGCAAGTATGTGCCTGTGTCAGAGGCTGATGGCAAGACCCCCCCTGCTGCTTGAAGCTGCTTGCTCTTCCCAAAGAGTCATGCTATTGTGGGCTGACTGTTACTTGAGGATCCATGGCACATCGTAGCTTGTAGACTGGATAGTGGGAAGTGAGTAGTTTAGTTCCCCTGCGCCATGTTGAATGCTGGGCAGGCCTCGAGCTGGGGACTGTTGCATGCACTTCTGACTGCAGGAGCTTCTGCTGCTGCTGTTGTCACGACTGGTTGTCTCTAGGCTAGTATCATGGACTAAAATGTGTCTTGTATGGGTTTGGTGAATGCTCTTACAGACCAACACGGTTATTGTGATGTGATCCCTCCAATTTCACAACTACAAACACCGGTAATCAACATTGGTTTATATGAACATCATCACATCACTGTCAGAAAGAAGCTACAACAACGTCCTGTCCTGGTATCCCAATTGCATCACCCACAATCTTTTCGTGCCTTGTTTGTTCCTTTTGAGATGGTCCTTTACTAAATGCTGCAAGACTGGATTATATCTATGACGTTTACGGCGAATTTTCCTTCCAGAATGAGGGTGCGGTGTGGGGTACATCCCAGATCTGAAAACGAGTCATCGTTTTAACCAGCTAGAAAACTAAACTATATAAGTGGTGTACTAGTTTTGCAGTGTTTGTATCCACTTGTACCCGTTACTGTTTTCAAGCCTCTGACTAAAACGCCCCACCGACTCAAATTCACCACACTGCGAGTGAGCCCCCTCCGCTCCTCGCGCAATGTGGAGCAGATAATCGTCAGTGTTCAACCGAGAAGCCCTCGTTCTCAAGCCAATTTCACAGAGACTTGAATCAGAGCATTTGTGTAACGTGTTCTACAATGGGGTCGTCGGACCTTCCCAAGTTAGGTAGAACGTTCTCAACTAGTGGGCTTCCGACAAATGTGTGCATCAGCTCCCCAAGTAAGGACTTGAACGGAAGTTACTCAAACTCTAATATTGCACGTCACGGATCTTTTCTCCAGCTGGTAGGAGGGGTGTCACCAACATCTCGAAATGTGGCTACAAGTCATGCTTCGCTCTCTGAGCATGATGTCCAGCGTCGCCTCGCAATGCCTAAATCTGTTCCTCCAAAAGGGACGAAATCCTCTGAAATTTCCAGCTTTGAATCACCAAAACGAAGACGTTCATCTGGGTTGCATATTGAAAATGAAGTTAATCCCAAGAGAGCTCTGACTGAATCATCCCTCAAACTGCTCCATACCTATAAAAAAGATTGCTCTGACAGCAGCATTTGCGGGCATTTGACATTTTCTGGAAACTCATTGCAAGGTAATGATGGTCTCGTTAACCGCTTCTTCTCTTCTTATGTGCCGAAGCTCTCATATTCATGGCTAAGAACACATAGTCTCAGGTGCTGTCTATCCCGAGGCTTCCGAAGAACCTGTGTTTGGGATCGGACAATCCCTGTCACCGCCTGCTACACGTGCAAATATGGAATGTGAATCAGAAGCAGATGAAGTTCCTGACATACGGTTTAGCAACATTTCAAGCCTTTATTCATCACAAGACTCTCAGCTCCAAGCACTTCTTGCGAATTGGGACAGAGATTCAAACCATGCGCTGTTGCCAGATCGTGTGCTGAGGGACAGGAACAGCTCTGAACTTCACATGTGCAGATCCTCAAAGCAAGCACCCCCTAGTGTGCGGTACACCGAGTCAGGTGGATGCAGAAGTCTCGAAGGGAAGGCTTATGACAACAGAGCCAGCAATCATGAGCTGAGGTTGTCATGCGTTTCCACAGAGCTTCGATTATCCAACGAACCAAACAGCAAGCGAGAAACACCAACTTTGCATGTGCGAGGAAGTGGAAGATTCAATGGTAGATTCTCAGACTTGGAAGACTTTGGCAAGGACTGGACTGCGGAAGGTAACGTTTGCAATTTCACTATCCCGTCCACCTTGAGGTTTACTTCATGTCCTTGTGAACGTATTATGCAGGAACTCTTGGTCAAAGCAGACCAAGCAAGGTCGCACACTATCCTCCAAATGACCGACAAAATGCTTCTGGGGTGGAACAACAGGCAAATTCAATGGTCATGCTGCTGGAACATGAACCCTCATCTGTATCTGGCCCTACCGAAATCAACATTTCACAGGTTGGAAGCATGAACTTCACGGATTTGGGACCAGCACGTGTCTTGACACTCGTCTCATCCTCGATGCACTTGATCACACAAGGCTTTTCACCTGGATGTGGCACTACTCCAGTCAATACGCCACTAATGAATGGGAAAGTCACCGCTGTCGATGCACCCGTTACTGGCAACGATACTGCTCGTATACTGGAGCCCGAGCCACCATCCAGAAGGAAGCTCCTCTTGCCATCCTGTGAAAGGCCGTCGCAGGTTATATCTCGACCAGCTTCACCAAAGGAGAGCCCACATGGCCTCGCAGGGAAACAGCTTGTCTGTGTTCAAGAAGTTGGGCCATCACACATTGATCCAGACGAAAATACCAGCCCGGTGGCAAGTGAGCAATGCCCCAGCCTGCTGTTACCAGGAAACGAGGATACAGACAACATTGAGTCCATGCTGGCGCTTTTGGCAATTCCAGAAGAGAGCAACACCCAAATGGCAACTAGCAGCGGTGCTGGGCCCAGCAACATTTTGGTGGAGATTGTTTCAGAGGAAGAGTATGTCCTGGTAGGCCGAGAGGTTGCAGAAGAAACATTGCAGCAGTTGAAGAAAGAAGCACGAGAAGGGTTGGACCTTGGAGACGTTGACATGGAGCAGTGCAAGAAGATCATCCAAGATTTTTCCTTCAACGTGCAGTTACGGTAAGGTAGTGAGCAACTGTTGTACCATTAACAGTTGATGGTATGGTAGGAGCATGCAACACTCCATATATCAATCAGACATCGGACATGATTCATAAGCAGGCTTGAAATGTACTCGTGTCAGTTGAGTGCTGCTTTAACCAGTGGAACTAGCCTCCCATTAGTATCCAAGTCTTTTGCTAGGCGGTGGCTGTCAACGGGGTGAACTGTCACTTCAACCTGCCACATCCACAACAGGTGTTGAGATAAATCTGCACAAAAATGCTCCTAGCACCATGTTTTGTGCTGTGTCAGCATTGCTGCTGCTGACAGTGATTAAACCAGGCCCGAAACAAAGCATGCTCCATTCAAGCTCTCACCTGAGGCAGGTGCTCAACCAGTCGAGCCTGCGCAACATCATGAGACCAATTCCCACAATGTACATGAACGTGAGGGGACACTTGTCCAGGTATCCTTGGTTTTGAAGCAGCAGGTTCTGCCATTGAGGAGAGGAGGTTCTGTGTGAACGAGCTGAGCCAAGCTGAGTCACGACCAGGCCGAATACTGGCTGAGATAAGGTCCACCTGCAAGTCACCAGAAACACGGCTCTAGTAAGCTTGTGTCCCGCAAAAACACAACGAGGCTGGAAAACCCAAAACTTGCAGAGGAGCAAACTAACCTGCGGACAAAACGCGAGAACAGTCGATCCGAATTCCGAAAACATGAGGGCAGCCGAGGCACCCATGGAATCTCCAATCATGACCACACGGTCATATCCCTCCACTGCTGCTGCAATCTCCCTCCGGTAGTATGCCCCATCTGTGTAGCCACAAGCACTAGGACCAACTTGTGATGAATCAACTGATGTGTTGGATGCAACCGGGGACTGCACTGATACTGAAGGCCATGTAGCTGGGGTAGTTGAAACTGATGGATGTAGACCTTGGTTCATGGAGAAGGCACCGACATGAGAGAGCATAGGAGGTGGCGCCAGGTTCGCATTGCTTGCTGCTGATGTGAGTGTGGAGAGGGGAGCATGCGTGTACCAGGAGCGGGTGGAATCGACGACGTAGAGTGTGTCAAAGGGTGTGGTGGTTCCTCCCATGGCTGCTGTGAGACCCATGTCTCCCTTCACCTTGCGCAGCAGCCCCGCCCTGACACAGATGCAACACAGTCCAATCAAGAGTCACCTGAATCTCACTACCAATGCTGCCAAATCCATCTCTGCTGCCGCATTGCCACATTTTGAAAAACACTCGCTTGCTAACTGAATTTTGAGAGGGGAAAATAGGGTCTAGCTCACCAGTTGGGCACGGCTGGAGCGCTGCCAAAGGCCACAACCAGCACTTCAGAGCGGTGGCCCTCTGCCTCTGACGCAGAATTTACGTGCTGCCATGGCTGCACCTGAGCGGGTGAAAAAAATAGAGGGGTCAGGGAAAAAGATAATCTAGGGCTAACGGTAGTGATTGAGTGGTACAGACCGGGAAAGCAATTTTTCTTCCACACGTTGACATGGCTGTACAGCCTTCTAGCCTAGCAGCTGCTCGTTTCAGCACAAATCAGGACCCCTCTTTCCACACACTAACCTTGAAATAGCCACCGTCTCGTTGCGCTGCCCCAGTCCCTGCCAGCCGGCTGACAAGCACGTTGCTTGGAAGAGGTGGCTGCATGCCCTGTGATGGTACCAGCTGCTGCGAGTCTACCCCCACAGTCTTGATTCGATGAAAGGTGTCGGAGAGACTGGTGTGGGAGAGCGAGAGAGGATTGCCCTGCAAGAAGAGGGTGGGAAGAAGAGGGGATGCAGAGGTGTGATTCGAAGACGGACAGTGGGAAAGATCCAAGTATTGAAACCGAACTGGAAAGGACAATCTGTGCAGTTGCATCAGCAGTTGAGTGCGCATCGCATGGTATCGTGACATGTATAAAAAAAACAATGATTGGATCACTACCCCGAGAAAACAGTCCACAAGATCATAAGTGTTCCATTTCTAAGAGGCCGTACCTCGAGCCAGAGGTTGGCAAGGCGAGAGCAGTCTGCTAGGTCTGGTGGCAGGTGAGCGATAGAATTGCCGTAGCTAATGGACGTTGTGGGGATATAAGGGGATAACACGGAAAAAGGCAAGTTTTCTTGTTGTAGATTGAATAGGGGATGGCTTGACGCGGAAAAAAGCAAGAGAAAACACAGGTGGCAAATAATTTACTATGCGACGGGATGCTGTTGCCAGACTGCCACACTCACAATACAGGTGGAAAGCAGCAAATCGAGCCGCCACGCTATGTGATACAGAACGGTACTACTATGAAGCGAGATAGAGAGGGGCACTGAATGGTACCGAACATCACAGTGAGGTAAAGAGCAGTACGGAGAGGTACTCACAGCCAGAGAGATTCAAGAAAGGGCAGCTGTGCTAGCGTGCCTTGTGGGATGGCTGACAGGCAGTTGTCGGCAAGTGAGAGTTGGCGGAGGGAGCGCAGAGAGAGCGGAGGGAGGGAGGATATGCGGTTGCCCTGGGCACGGGGAGAAGGGAGGGAGACGAAAAAAGGGGAAGAAAGAGTGAGGCGGGATGGAGGTACAGATGGCATGGGAGGAGAGGGCAAGGGCAATATAGAGAGTGAAGTGACATGAAGGGAGGGAAGAGGTGGGAGACACCTGAGCAGAGACCAACCACCTGAAGCCACACCTGAAAGCACACCTGAGGTTACACCTGAGCGCTCACTTGAAGAAAGAGCTCCTGAAGGTAGGAGAGGTGGGTGATGGAGGGTGGTAGGGCTGTGAGAGCGTTGCCGTAGGCAGCTAGGACCCTTAGAGAGGCGAGCGACCCGATGCCTGGGGGGAGAGGCGGGGACGGAGGATGGGAGCTTGAAAAGTGGAGATTTTCTGGAAAAAAATTGACCTTTTTGAGGAAGAAGAATGAATGGAAAAAATAGATGGAAAGGAAGATGAAGTGAAAGCGCATGCGAAGCCCAACGTAAGGGGCCTTTCAGTGATGCCACAATGGGCACAGAGGAAAACGAGGACATACTTTGTGGTAACTCTTCGAGCTGGTTACCAGCGACGGACAGCACCTGCAGTGCCGTCAACCTGCCCAGCGTGTGTGGTAACCGCGTCAACTGGTTGCCTGCGAGAGCCAGGAAGCGCAGCGCTGTGAGGTGGCCGATCTGAAGGAGGAGAGGAGGAAGGTGAGCGTGGAGGCAAGGAGGAGAGAGAGAAGGGAAGGGGAGTGAGTGTGGGAAGGCAGGGGCAGAATGAGGCTCTGAAGCTGGCTCCTGGCAATTGCAAGAAGGAGAGATGACTGTAGGACTCAACCCACACACTGATGTACTCGCTATAAGGCGCACTGTCCTGTATCCACTACAAGGCACACTCTTCTATACTCGTTAACGGCACACAGTGCTGTACCCGCTATAAGGCACCTCGTCTGGGAGCTCGTGAAGCAGGTTCCCGTGAAGCCACAGCCCCTCCAGCTGCGTCAGATGGCCGATTTCAGGTGGCAGCCGCTGCAGCCTGTTGCCTGCTAGACCCAGCCGGCGCAGCTGGTGGGGTGTGGAGGCAAAAGGGCGAAAGGGAGAGGCAAAAGGGCGAAAGGGAGAGGCAAAAGGGCGAAAGGGAGAGGCAAAAGGGCGAAAGGGAGAGGCAAAAGGGCGAAAGGGAGAGGTAAAAAAGGGGTCAAATTCACACCAGTGGTGGCGCCGCTGCAAGCTGTTGCCTGCCAGCCCCAGACGGCGCAGCTGATGGGGTATAGAAGGAGCCTGTTGCCAGAGCTCAAATTCACACCACTGGCGGCAGCCGCTGCAGCCTGTTGCCTGCTAGACCCAGCCAGCGCAGCTGGTGGGGTGTGCAGGAGAAAGGGAGAACAGGGGGAGGTAAGAAAGGTGAAAGCGTAAAGGGAAGGAGGGGAAGGAGAGCGGCAGGAAAGGGGAAGGGTAGTATGGAAAGTTTGGCAATCTTAGGAGGGATTGACTTGACTTGATTGCCGGCCAGAGAGAGAGAAAGTGAAGGGGAATGCAGCTGCAGGCTTACTTTGGACAGGTTGGCGATCTCAGGAGGGATGGATTTGATTTGATTGCCGGCCAGAGAGAGGTCGGAGAGTTCTGAGAGGTGCAGAACAGCCGGGGGGATGGCCGTCAGGCCTGGGGAGGCGGAATGGAGGGAAACGGGAAGGGGAAGGGAGGGGGGGTTGTGGGGAAGGGGAGGAAGAGAGGAGGGGAGGATAAAAAAGGGACAGAGGGTAAGTCTTTTGAGTCGACTCAAAAGTCACCTGACGGTAAGTCTAAACCTCAAACCCAAAACTTGAAAGTTTGTTGAGGATAGAGATGGGAATCAGGCTTAGAAACTGAGTGATAGGGGGGCCAAAGCGGATGACTTTTGAGAAGTCTCAAAAACGAGGCTTAGAAGCTGAGTAATAGGGGGGGCAAAGCGGATGGATATCAGGGGAAGGCGAAACACAGGCGGGGACGAGGAGAGAAACTGGGCAGTTCGGGGAATGGGGGAAGACAATGGGGAAACGAGGAAACGGGGAGGCGAAAGACCAAGGGGGAAGTGGGGAAAACGCGGAGGCGGAAGACCAAGGGGGAAGTGGGGAAAACGCGGAGGCGGAAGACCAACGGAAAGGTGGGGGAAAACGGGGAGGAGGAAGACCAACGGATAAGTGGGGGAAAACGGGGAGGCGGAAGACTAAGGAGAACTAGGAGAAATGGGGAACGGCTGTCGTACCGCAGTCGCTAAGGTCCAACGCGCCCGTGTTGGCGGCCACAGCGATTCTCGCCTCCACCTCACTCGCGCTGGCCGCGTTGACCGCGTTAACCGCGTTGACCGCGTTGACCCGTATAGACGCCGCAGAGGGGCGGTATGTGAGTCGCCCTGCCGCATGAACGGCCAGCGCGGGGGAAAGGCTTGCGAAAGCAGCGCTGCGAAGGTCTTTTGCGAGACGTCGCTGCAACAGGCATGCGCCGAGACGACATTCTGCGCGGGTTGGAGTACAAGGCGCGCGCTCCCCTCGCTCGGCGGAAGCGCGTGGCGCATGCGCAGCGGCGCGGGGGTTTAGGCGGGTGGAATCTCGATTTGCGACGGAAACAAAGTAACGGGCGCTGCGCGGCACTGGTGATCGAGACGGTGTGAGTGAGGACGTGTGCGGGAAGGCGGGTTCGAGCAGACGAGCCATGAGGGGAAATCTGATCGCGGTGCGACACGCATTTCACGAAATGTCTGCCCGCAAAAGGCGGTCAGAATCAGGTAAGAGCGGCAACAGCTACCATCCCCTAATGAACTCCTCATCCGTAGTTTCACACGCTCAGTCAGAAGCGCGGATTCATCAGGATGATTAAATCTTCGCTATAGAGGTTTGCGTGTCTCAACCATGTAACAACACGGCTTCACCCAAATTTCACGCCACTACATACTCAACAATAATAATGAAACATCATCTTGAAATGACCTGGTCAGCTAAAAGTCTACCTACTCTTGACGTGAGCGCCAGCCAAGCGAATACCGAGACCTGTAATGAGAGAGTTGCAATTGGGAAAATATTTAGTTTATGAATGCTGACACAACGTGCTGAATAGGCGATATGCAGCTACCTGACATGGGGTAGAAATATACAATGTATCAATGCAAACAGTATACATTTAGGAAGCGTGCAACGGCTGGGAGGGCATGAGAGGGTTTAGGCACTCACAGCTCCGCCTCCTTGCCACTTGGCTCCATGGGGGAATGCAAGCATTGACCCTACAGAGATGGTGAATGTATCATTTTGGTAGGTGAACAAGGAGCACACTTTATTAATGATAGTAGAAAAGGGTCAATAGGCTGATGAATGGCATTGAATACTGAAGATGAGACAGCTACACTTGAACAGGAAACAACACAGCACAGGAGAGTTCAGGGGCACAGCGGCTGTCATCAGAAGAGTAGCTGTGCAGCAGTGCTCACCGAATGGATAGACGACGTCCACCGGCAGAATGACAACGGGCTTGGAGCGGAACGAGAGCACCAGCAGCACATAGGCGCATGCCTGCACAGGAGTGCAGCAGAGTGGAACGAGTGAAAAATAAAAGAGCAAAACTGAGTAAGAGAATGGAGCACATTTGTGGGACGTTTGAAAATTAAGATGCTTCATGATTCGAGATCCGCAATTCAGTGGCGATGGTGCTTGGACCGATCGACCAGAGGCCAGATGATGTACGCCCATCCACCACCCACATAGAGTCGTTCTAACTGAAGACGTGCATGATGTATGTGATGCGCATGTGCATGTGCATGTGCACGTGCACGTGCATGTGCATGTGTACATCTGTGGATGTACCTGTATGGTGTATGGGAGGACAAAGCGAATCAGCGTCCACCAGATACGGGATGGCTGCGCCTTCACTGCCAAATAGCACAGGGGGAATGGATTGAAGGACTTGTGCATGTGCAGAGGCAAACATGGAATCAGGAAACCAAAGCACATGAATGGAAGATGCACAAGAAGTGGTGAGATTCCATGACAGGATGAGCACCATGCGCGGCGATTCACATCACGTACAGGCGTTCAGCTCTTTCTCCTTGGCAGTGGCAGTGCGAGTTAGAAGTGCAGAGCGAGAGAAGGTGCTGGGGCTGTGGGTGGGGAAGAATCAGGGGGGGGGGGAGAAGAATCAGGGGGGGGGGGGGGGGTAGAATGAGGTAGGGGAAGAATGAGATCTGGGAAATCATGAAGACGGGGGACGATGCGGACCGGGGGAAGAAGAACGAGCTACAGGGGAGAAATGTCGACGAAGGAAGGCTACGAACCGAAAAGCAGGAGTTCCATAAACGAATGACACAGCAATAACCAGCAAAATCTCGATTCGCAGGACTCACGTGTTCAGCCGATTCGCCTCCTTCTTGAGGCGCTTTATCTCCGCCGCAAGAGCCGCCTCTTTCCGCGCTGAAAGATTCTCCTGGCCACGGAAACGGTGCGTTAGACAAGCCACGCGTTAATCAGGTGTGTTTCGATCCGAGTCCAGTCACAAGCCGCCAAGGCTGCGTTATGAGACCACGAGGAATTCATATAACGAGGAGAACGCGTGCCAGACGAGCTTCACGTATGAAAGCAAGGCTGGGATCGCTTCGGTTGCAAATCAACGGGGCGCATGAAGAGATACTACGGGTATATATTCTATCTGGGGCAATCATAAAGTCGACGCGCGTACCGGGAGGAAGCGGCGAAGTGCTCTCAAGATCACCTCGCCGAGGACCACTATAACGAACGTGGCTATGGCGGGAGGCAACGTCAGAACCTTCATGGCAAATTCCTCACAACATAAGATGTGAGAGAGGGATCTTAGGGCGGAATTGCTTGCATCAACCTAGGCCTCACTCTGTCAGCTCGTCCCTAGTCCTGGTAAGTTACTCTTCAGCGGCGCGCATCGTGACTCTGACGAGTAGCTACTAAAGACGTGTCAGCGGTCCTTCTACGCGAAATCGCCACGCCACCCTCCGTTCTGGCTGGAGCAGCTGAATTTGCAGCCTGGTACGGCACCGAGCCGTTCAGGTTCGGTTCAAAATGCCGCACCCAGCCTCGAGTTCCAAACCTCGACAAATGAAAACTCGTTACAGGAACACCAAATGCAGCCACACTGCAAAATCTCGATGTGAGCCGCGGGCTGCCGAAAATCGGCAATTCGTGATATTTGTGTGACAGGAACTTGGTGTCAGAAAAGGTTTTAGAGCTTAGTTAAACGTCACCACGGAAGCCTCTGATATGCCACGTCAACTGGTAGCCCAGTTGACACATCACATTGGCCCAGCACTGGCCACACACACCAATCCGTAAAGGATGATGCTCTTTTGAGCTTCTTTGTCAGGTGGGGAAATATAGGCGGTGATATCCTCGTTACAGGCAAAGCACTCTGGCTGTCAGTTCCATGTCAGACCACTAGCACAAGATTCTCCCAGTTTCGGTTATTTTAGTTTGACAGCCAGCCATCAGTGACGCCGATTCGTTCCTTCTGCTTCAGTAGGTAGCAAGAGTTTCTTCAGTAGGTGACCTCCTAGTAACTAGTGCCCGCAATCGTCAGGACTCTCATATGTTTGTGAAAACAGGTCCTTCGTGTCGCATGGCCAGATGTTTCCGCCGTCAATTCGACGGGTTTCTTACTTGCTTAGACTGCGAGGGATTCTTTTCGCGAGTACTCTTTCTGCGACGAGCTGGCGCTTTCGCTGACGACCGTTGCTGTGCTGTCACTACTCGGTAACAAAGCTAGCACTTTCTAGGGATCCCAGGAGTAGTGGTTGCGAAAGACTGCATCAGTCACAGTATTTGGAATCAGACTTTTTGGCCCTAGAATCTACCATAAGCCTGGACGCGCTTCAAAATTATTCAGGCTCTCGTGAATGATGGGAATTGCTGCTGTAAGTCAGGCCGTGAGATGTTGAGCCAATCTTCTGACACAAAGTTGGACTTTGCGCAGTTGGTCTCTGAGACTTCACAATACCCAACTTAACCTCCTCCCATGGCGCCCACGCGCTATTCCCTCTCCATCAAACCCCCCGACCGCGCTGCGGAAGATGGATCCGCGGAAGCCCCCCCGCGGAGAAGCAGCCTCAGCAGCAACTTCACCCCTGGGGGAATCGGAACCGCAGCTGGCGGAGCACCCGCTGGCGCAGCAGGCGGAGCGCGGGGGTCGGGGGGGGCGGGCAGAGGGCACTATGACGCCGGGCCTTGGGCTATCCGCGTTCCGTATCAGGATGCGGACGTGCGAAGTGTCCTGGAAGCAGGCAGGGATCCGTGGAGTTGCGCAGCAGGCGACGGCGCGGGGAGGCAGGGTGGCGCTGATGCCAGCTACGGCGCTGGGGGGGGAGCGGGGGGAGTGAGCGGGGAAGGTGGACCCGGGGGAGGTGCATCTGGATCAAGATTCGGGTTTGAGGGCGGCAGGATCCAGCGGAGGTTCTCTCTTTCCACCCCGCGGGAGATCGCCAGGCTGGCGCATGCGACGAGCGGCAGCGGCAGTGGCGCCAGTGGGCCTGAGAGGCACGGGCTACAGGCTCACCCGCCACAGGTGCAGGCGCAGGTGCAGCAGCTGCTGTACCCGCTTCACCAGCACCTAACCCAGTTGCAGCAGCAGCAGCAACAACTGCAGCAGCAACAGCAACAGCAAGGGCAAGGGATTAACATGCCAGGCACACCCCGTCGTCCCACTTTCTACCGAGGCCTCTCCTCTTCTTATGAGGAGGCCGCCCAAGATGCAATCGCAGCCGTTCAGGCTGCGCAGGCAGCAGCAGCCGCCGCGTCAGCCAACGGCCCTTCCAATTCCGGCTCGTTTTCCACTGTTGGTTCGGGCAGTTTCAACAATTCCATGGGTAATTTCCTACGGCAGCCAACTACCCCTCGGTCGATACCACCATCTCAGTCATCCACCCGGGTCGAGCGGTTGCTGAGGGAGAGGCAGATGAGGCGCAGCTCGAGCTTCCTCCAGTTCGACGTGGATTCGGTGGACGGGCGGATCATGACGCCACGTGGCATTGCCACGTCACACGGCAGTGCTGGGTCAATTGCTGGGCCGCCGGCTCCTGGCGGAACAGGAGGAGCATCGGGAATGGGAGCAGGAGGCGGAGGAGGCGGAGGGGGAGGGGGAGGAGGGGGCGCAGGAGGGGGCGCAGGCGCAGCGTGGGTGCCAGGGCGTGCGCCCATGGTTGGCCGAGCCAGCACGGCCTCCCGAGGCAGCTTCGCGTTTGGCGCGGCAGCCCGAGGCACCAGGTCCGGGCCACTAGCCCCGGTGGACCTCATGTTAGGCCCGGACAGCCGGAACTCCAGCTATGACAACCTGGCTGCTGTTGCCGCTGCTCACACCCCCCACAGCTCATCCATTCCCACCCCTTACACCTCCACACCACCCCGCCTCCCCTCTGCCGTCCCCTCACCATACCCTCTCTCTTCCTCTCCCCACATGGCCTCATCACCTGCCATCCCACGCCCGGCAGGCTCCACGCCCCGCCTGTCGTCGTCCCTCACAGCCTACCCGGGGTTCAGGGGTGGGGGCGCCATGCAGCGCGTGCAGAGCAGCGGGGAGCTCACTGCTGCGGCGGCACAGGCAGCAGGTTTGACGGATAGGATCCCGGAAGAGGGGATGGGAGCGGGGGACGTGGGAGTGGGGGGTGCGAGTCCTGGGGTGACGGTGCTGCCAGGGGTGGCTGGGATTCCGGGTCTGGGAGTGGCTGTTCCGGGGGGTATGGGAGCAGGGGGAACAGGGCCGGCTGTAGCAAGGCCGGCTGTAGCGGGGGCGGATGTAGGTAGGCCGGCTGCAGCGGGGTCGCCTGTAGCAGGGCCGGCTGTAGCGTCACCACAGCATAGGATGGGAGGTAGGCCAGGCACCCCTAGCCATGTTCTAGACCCTGGTCGGATGCTAGAACCGTTGGGACCAGCAGCAGCAGTGTCTCTCACAGCAGAAGCAGAGGCAGAAGCAGCAGCAGCAGCAGCATCGGCAGGACCAGCCATGGCAGCAGCAGCAGCAGCAGCTGCAGCAGCAGCGATCCCTCAGTCTGTACCAGTCGAGCCTCCCCAGATGGAACCTCCGCCGACCCCGCCGCCCGCGCCGGCCGCGCAGCAGCGCATGCAGCGGCTGCTGATAGTGGCCAATCGCCTGCCCGTGCGGGCCAGCCTACAGCCCGACGGCACGTGGGCGCTGGAGCTGTCCGCTGGAGGGCTTGTGAGCGCGCTGCTAGGTGGGTGCCATAGCTGCTTGAGTGCTGCGGCTGGGTGGGTGCCGTGCTGTGTGTTGGCGTCAATGCATGCAGCCTCCTCACCACCTATTCCCCTCCAATGCATACAGACGTGAAGCAGAACTTTAAGACGTGCTGGATAGGCTGGCCGGGGCTGTACCTGCAGGCGTCAATGGCAGGCTTGCTGCTGGGAGTGATAGTCGTTGTTCCGTCCCTGCTCCACCTACACCTCACCCATACTTCCTCCCTCAATGCGTGCAGGCGTGAAGCAGAACTTTGAGACGTGTTGGATAGGCTGGCCGGGGCTGTACCTGCACTCGCCTGCGGATCAACAGCAACTGCACGACGCCCTGCAGGCCAAGGTGCGGCGCTGGTCCCCATCCCATCACAGCAGGCTTGACAGGGGGCCGTGATGCAGGGGCTCTCATTTGGGGCTCAATGGAGGGGCACAGGTAAGGGGCGCATAGAGGGTTCACAGAGGCACAGTAAGGGTTTGGTGACTGCGAAGGGCAGCTTCCCATGAGCGAGGTTCGAGACGGCCAACAACTCGTCCCCTCCCTCCCCCGTCATGTCCCCACTGCCTAGGCTGCGTACCTGTGTTCCTGACGAGCACACAGTGAACGCCTATTGCAAAGCCTACTGCCACGCCTGCTGCTGCAACAGCGTGCGCCACATTGAGTCAAAGCACACCGAGACTCACACCATCTCTTTTACTCTTCCCCTCTGTGCCCTTCTTTCCCGCCACTCACCTGGGCTGTGTGCCTGTCTTCCTAGACGAGAGCACAATGAACGCGTGCTACAATGGGTACTGCAACAACGTGCTGTGGCCGCTGCTGCACTACATCGGGCTGCCTCAGGCTCATGCCATCTCCCCTTCCTCACCCCCTTCCTTGCCCTTCTCTCCCTCCTCCCCACCACCAGGGCTGTTTGCCGGCATTTCAGACGAGAGCACAATGAACTCGTACCACAATGCGTACTGCAACAACGTGCTGTGCAACAACAAATTCAAGCACAGCTGGACTACCGCCCCCTCTCCCTCTTCCCTACCGTGCCCCTTCCCACCACCAGGGGTGCGTGCCTGTGTTCCTAGACGAGAGCACGATGAACGCCTTTTACAACGCGTACTGCAACAACGTGCTGTGGCCTGCCCTCACACCACTCTCTTTCCCTCCTCTCCTGTGCACTTCTTTCCAGGGATGCGTGCCCGTGTTTCTGGACGAGAACACAATGAATGCGTATTACAATGGCTACTGCAACAACGTGCTGTGGCCGCTGCTGCACTACATCGGCCTGCCCCAGGAGGACCGCCTCTCCGCCACGCGCTCCATCCAGGGCCAGTACGGCGCGTACCGCTCGGCCAATCACAGCTTTGCTGACGTGGTCATGGCTCAGTACCGGCAGGGGGACATTGTGTGGGTGCATGACTATCACCTCATGCTGCTGCCTCAATACCTCAAGGCCCGCAGCCCCAAGTGAGTGTTCAGCTGGCTTAGAGGTAGCATGTCCTTCCCTCGTGTCCTTCTCTCGTTGCCTTCATGTCGTGCACGCGCCTGGCTCGTTTCAGTGCTTGCAAATGTGTAACTGGTTATGCACCTCTCCCCCCATCACCCGCCAGCATGAAGGTGGGGTGGTTCCTGCACACGCCCTTCCCCTCCAGCGAGTTCTTTCGAGCGCTGCCCCTCCGAGAGGAGATCCTGCAGGCTGTGCTTGCCGCTGACCTCATTGGGTGAGTTGGAAAAGTTAACGGGGCAGCTTGTAACGAGGACATTCGTGGAAGGTTTACATGTAGCCTGTGCTCGTGCCTGACCTCGTCGTGTGAGTGGGTTATGGGAGTGGGCTCTTGAAAGGTCAAAGTCTGAAAGTCATCTGCTGCTGGCTGCTAGATTTTATTCTTTCCGCCCCCACGTTTCCTACTTCCCCCACACCCCAATTCTTTGTCCACCTTCCCCGCAGCTTCCACACATATGACTACGGGCGGCACTTTGTGAGTGCGTGTTGCGCACAATCCCGGCGGGTTGAAGGTGTGCTGTGCTCCTAAGAGAGTTGCAGCTCTAGAGCTCAACGCACCCGTCCATGCGCCTGTCCTTTATGCCCTCCCGCTCCCCTCTGCCCCCCACCACTGTCCCAGCTTCCATACGTACGACTACGGGCGGCACTTTGTGAGTGCGTGTGCGCGCATCCTGGGGCTGGAGGGCACGCCCGAGGGCGTGGAGGACCATGGCAGACTCACACGCGTCGCTGCGGTGAGAGAGGGTACACTGGTGGTGCACTTGCATCAGACACGTTACACATGTATGTGCAATAGTTTCCATTATCTCTCATGTATATTGTGTTTTGGTGTGCGGAATCTCCTCACAATCATGCCTTCCATCCGTGCTGTGCCACGTGGCAGTTCCCGATTGGCATAGACCCGGAGCGGTTCATATCAGCACTGGAGAGCAACGTGGTGAAGACGCACATCGCGGAGCTGCGAGCGAGATTCTCCGGAAGGAAGGTGAGAGCTCCTTGGGCGGTGTGGGAAGGGTCGGTCGGGTCGGTGAGAAAACGAGGGAAGGCGCGCAGAGGAGGGCAAGGCGAGGGGAGCAACATGGTCAAGCCTGACAGCGCAGGTGGTGCTGGGCGTGGATGTGGACCCCTGGGATCACATCACAGGACATCATCAAGTTTGAGCACCGTGCCGTGCATGTTGCTCAAGTTTGAGAAGTTCCTGGAGGAGCACCTCGACTGCTTGTGAGGTGCCTTGCGTGATGTATGTATCCTGCTCCTGCCCCTCCCTTACCTCCTCCCTGTTCTCCCCCCAGGTGATGCTGGGAGTGGACCGGCTGGACATGATAAAGGGCATACCGCAGAAGCTGATCGCGTTTGAGAAGTTTCTCGAGGAGCACCCTGACTGGCGCGACAAGGTCCTCCTCGTGCAGATCGCCGTGCCCTCTCGCACCGACGTGCCCGAGTGTGAGTGGCGCCACAACGGGCCTAGACCCCACCGTCTCACACACATGTGCTGCAATATGAGTCATGTGCGCCACAACGGGCCTAGACCCCACCGTCTCACACACATGTGCTGCAATATGAGTCATGTGCGCCACAACAGGCCTAGACCCCACCGTCTCACACACATGTGCTGCAATATGAGTCATGTGCGCCACAACGGGCCTAGACCCCACCGTCTCACACACATGTGCTGCAATATGAGTCATGTGCGCCACAACGGGCCTAGACCCCACCGTCTCACACACATGTGCTGCAATATGAGTCATGTGCGCCACAACGGGCCTAGACCCCACCGTCTCACACACATGTGCTGCAATATGAGTCATGTGCGCCACAACGGGCCTAGACCCCACCGTCTCACACACATGTGCTGCAATATGAGTCATGTGCGCCACAACGGGCCTAGACCCCACCGTCTCACACACATGTGCTGCAATATGAGTCATGTGCGCCACAACGGGCCTAGACCCCACCGTCTCACACACATGTGCTGCAATATGAGTCATGTGCGCCACAACGGGCCTAGACCCCACCGTCTCACACACATGTGCTGCAATATGAGTCATGTGCGCCACAACGGGCCTAGACCCCACCGTCTCACACACATGTGCTGCAATATGAGTCATGTGCGCCACAACGGGCCTAGACCCCACCGTCTCACACACATGTGCTGCAATATGAGTCATGTGCGCCACAACGGGCCTAGACCCCACCGTCTCACACACATGTGCTGCAATATGAGTCATGTGCGCCACAACGGGCCTAGACCCCACCGTCTCACACACATGTGCTGCAATATGAGTCATGTGCGCCACAACGGGCCTAGACCCCACCGTCTCACACACATGTGCTGCAATATGAGTCATGTGCGCCACAACGGGCCTAGACCCCACCGTCTCACACACATGTGCTGCAATATGAGTCATGTGCGCCACAACGGGCCTAGACCCCACCGTCTCACACACATGTGCTGCAATATGAGTCATGTGCGCCACAACGGGCCTAGACCCCACCGTCTCACACACATGTGCTGCAATATGAGTCATGTGCGCCACAACGGGCCTAGACCCCACCGTCTCACACACATGTGCTGCAATATGAGTCATGTGCGCCACAACGGGCCTAGACCCCACCGTCTCACACACATGTGCTGCAATATGAGTCATGTGCGCCACAACGGGCCTAGACCCCACCGTCTCACACACATGTGCTGCAATATGAGTCATGTGCGCCACAACGGGCCTAGACCCCACCGTCTCACACACATGTGCTGCAATATGAGTCATGTGCGCCACAACGGGCCTAGACCCCACCGTCTCACACACATGTGCTGCAATATGAGTCATGTGCGCCACAACGGGCCTAGACCCCACCGTCTCACACACATGTGCTGCAATATGAGTCATGTGCGCCACAACGGGCCTAGACCCCACCGTCTCACACACATGTGCTGCAATATGAGTCATGTGCGCCACAACGGGCCTAGACCCCACCGTCTCACACACATGTGCTGCAATATGAGTCATGTGCGCCACAACGGGCCTAGACCCCACCGTCTCACACACATGTGCTGCAATATGAGTCATGTGCGCCACAACGGGCCTAGACCCCACCGTCTCACACACATGTGCTGCAATATGAGTCATGTGCGCCACAACGGGCCTAGACCCCACCGTCTCACACACATGTGCTGCAATATGAGTCATGTGCGCCACAACGGGCCTAGACCCCACCGTCTCACACACATGTGCTGCAATATGAGTCATGTGCGCCACAACAGGCCTAGACCCCACCGTCTCACACACATGTGCTGCAATATGAGTCATGTGCGCCACAACGGGCCTAGACCCCACCGTGTCACACACATGTGCTGCAATATGAGTCATGTGCGCCACAACAGGCCTACACCCTCCCATTCCTTTCCCACTCCACCTCCTCCCCTCCCCTCCCCTTCCTCTCCCCTCCCCCCCCCCTCCCCTCCCCGTCTCCTCCCCCCCACTCCCTGCCCCGCCACCAGACCAGAAGCTGACGAGTCTGGTGCATGAGATCGTGGGGCGAATCAACGGTCGATTCGGCACTCTCACCACCGTGCCCATCCACCACTTGGTACGAACCAATCACCACCGTTCATCTCTGTAGTCTCTGATGCGTGAGCTGCAACCCAAGCTCCATCCCTACAGTACAGCTGCTGATGACTGGCTTCCTCCTGGTTACTCCCCCTCACCGCCTCTTATCCCCCTCCTCCTTCCCCCTTCTACTTCAGGATCGCTCCCTGGCATTCCACGAGCTGTGCGCCCTGTACGCCATAACGGACGTGCTGCTGGTGACGTCGCTGCGGGACGGCATGAACCTGGTCAGCTACGAGTATGTGGCGTGCCAGAACTACAAGAAGGGCGTGCTCATCCTCAGCGAGGTGCGTGGCTTTGCTGTGCCCGCCTGCCTTGCTTGTGATTGTGATATAGTTCTATGCACGGCTCTTCAAGGGACGTTGCGCGGCTCGTAGGGTCAGCTACGAGTATGTGTACGTGGCGTGCCAGACCTACAAGAAGGGCGTGCTCATCCTCAGCTGAGCATCACCCCCGGAGCATCACCCCCGGAGCATCACCCCCGGAGCATCGCCCCCGGAGCATCGCCCCCGGAGCATCGCCCCCGGAGCATCGCCCCCGGAGCATCGCCCCCGGAGCATCGCCCCCGGAGCATCGCCCCCGGAGCATCGCCCCCGGCGCATCGCCCCCGGCGCATCGCCCCCGGCGCATCGCCCATGGCGCATCGCCCCCGGCGCATCGCCCCCGGCGCATCGCCCCCGGCGCATCGCCCCCGGAGCATCGCCCCCGGAGCATCGCCCCCGATGCATCGCCCCCGGCGCATCGCCCCCGGCGCATCGCCCCTGGCGCATCGCCCCCGGAGCATCGCCCCCGGAGCATCGCCCCCGGAGCATCGCCCCCGGAGCATCGCCCACCACGGGGCATCGCCCCCGGGGCATCGCCCCCGGGGCATCGCCCCCGGCGCATCGCCCCCGGCGCATCGCCCCCGGCGCATCGCCCCCGGCGCATCGCCCCCTGTGCATGTTGAGCTCAATGGAGGACGCCCTCAACCTCATTCCATGTTGGATCCCAAACCCTTGGTGTGCAGTTTGCAGGCGCGGCACAATCACTGGGTGCCGGAGCACTTCTAGTGAATCCATGGAACATCACGGTTGTGTCGAGCGCCATAGAGGACGCACTCACCCGTCATTCAACATCCACTCCCATCCCGATCAACCCTTGTCTCTCAATTGCAGTCTGCAGGCGCGGCACAATCACTGGGAGCCGGAGCACTCCTGGTGAACCCATGGAACATAACGGACATGCCGAGCGCCATAGAGGACGCACTCACGATGGGCGAGGAGGAGCGTGTGGACCGCCACCTCCCTTCTTACATCCTTTCCCCTTTTATCTGTTAAACCTTGGAAGTGCAGTTTGCAGGCGCAGCACAATCACTTGGGGCGGGTGCGCTGCTGGTGAACCCATGGAACATCACGGACATGTCGAGCGCCATAGAGGACGCGCTCACGATGGGTGAGGAGGAGCGCGTCGACCGCCACCGCTACAACTTCCTGCACGTCACCACTCACACCGCGCAGGCCTGGGCAGACACGTTTGTCAGGTAGTGCCAGTGCAAGCCTCCAAGGAGGACTTTGAAGGCATTGGGTGGGGTGGTCTTTATTTTAACCTGCATCTTTGCTCGTTTCTCGTCCCAGGTCTCTCAGCTGGAAGCGTTGCTGCTTATCCTCTCGTGCCCTCCTTCACCTTCCCCACCACCCGCCCCCTCCTTCCGCCATTGCTGCAGCGAGTTGAACGACACAGTGGTGGAGGCACAGCTGCGCACGCTGCACATCCCCCCGCTGCTGCCCGTGTCCCAGTGTGTCGACCGCTTCCACCAGTGCCGCAACCGCCTCCTCATCCTCGTGCGTCCTGCTTTGGTTGCACATGTGCTGTTTGCTTGTCTGTTGATTGAGGGCGGGAATGGTGTTGGGGAAAGGTATGCACGGACCCACTGGGAAAGGCTGTTGCCAGTGTGCTGGGTCCATGCACCCACTTATCCTGGTGATGGGTGCGGGTGCACATGATTATGTGTGCTGGTTGCATTGCATGGCGGATTGGGGCTTCAAATTGGGATGAGATGTCACTGGATGAACCAAGGTCACACACGTACGCTTGCTTCTTGTCTCTCCACCTTTTGCATGCCCTTGTCCCGCTGCTCTTTGCCCCCTGCCCTATTCCCCCTCATCCCTGTTGCAACTCTCGTCTCGTCTGCCATCTGCCTCGCGTCCCTCTTGTCAGGGCTACAACGGCACGCTCACAGCTCAGGTGGAGCCACACAGGCGGCGCACGCCTGATCAGATCAAGGAGATGAAGGTGAGAGGCGGGCCGAGGGGTGCTGTGAGGAAGGATGGTGAGTCATGAGTGAAGACTTATTTTTCGCCAAAATTTGACACTGTGGAGTAATATTCTTTTGGCCTTTCTTATTCCATCCCCATGCCCATTCCCGTGCTAACGCTCATGGTCATGATCGCAACCATTCCCTCCTTCCCCCTTCCCACCCACCAGGTTCGTCTACACCCGATAATGCCGGCTGCGCTGCGTCGGCTCTCCTCCGACCCGGCCAACACGATCGTCATAATGAGCGGGTCGGAGCGTGCGGTGCTGGACGAGGCGTTCAGCGAGTATGACGTGTGGCTGGCGGCTGAGAACGGCATGTTCATGCGCCACACGAGAGGGGAGTGGATGACCACCATGCCTGAGCACCTCAACATGGACTGGCTCGACTCGGTTCAGGTAACAGGGGGAGGTAGGGCAGGCCCTTAGATGAGAGGGTGAGAGGGGCGGGAGAGGGAGGGGATGTGTGCAGGGTGGCTCATGTAGGTAAATTTTGCAGTCTAGTGAGGAGGGCTGGTGGCAGTACTCGTGCAGCCGCATGGACGAGCGGTTGGCATCGTTGTTTGGGTTTAGGGTCTAACCTCCATCCCCGTTCCTGCCCTCCCTCCCTCCTTCCCTCCCTCACGCGTCAACCCCTGCCATCACTGCCCCAGTTGGTGTTTGAGTATCACGGAGCGCACGCCACGGTCATACGTGGAGGAGAGGGAGACCTCTCTGGCAGGGTTCGCTTTTGAGTCGACTCAAAGGGAGACCTCTCTGGCAGGGTTCACAGTCCTACCTGCATCCCCCTTCTCATCACACCCCTTCCTCTCAACCCGCCCCCCCCCTTCCGCTATCCTCACCTTGCCAGTTGGTGTTTGAGTATTTCACGGAGCGCACGCCGCGGTCGTACGTGGAGGAGAGGGAGACCTCGCTGGTGTGGAAAGACATTACTTCCTGCATCCCACCGCCGCCTCATTGCCTCCCCTCCCCTTCTCTCCCCCATCCCCACCCATCCAGTTGGTGTTTGAATATTTCACGGAGCGCACCCCGCGGTCGTACGTGGAGGAGAGGGAGATGTGGAACGACATTTTTCCTGCATCCCCACCACCCAACCCCCCCACACCTCCTCCGCTCCACCCGTCCCTTTTCCTTTCATCTCCCCGCCAGTTGGTGTTTGAGTATTTCACGGAGCGCACGCCGCGGTCGTACGTGGAGGAGAGGGAGACATCGCTGGTGTGGAACTACAAGTATGCCGACGTGGAGTTTGGCCGCGTGCAGGCCAGAGACATGCTGCAGCACCTGTGGACGGGACCGATTTCGAATACTGCAGTCGACGTTGTGCAGGTACTTTTGTCATGGGACGTCTCAAGCCCGTGTGCTGTAGCCCAGGGTGCTGTAGCCCGTGTGCTGTAGCCCAGGGTGCTGTAGTCCAGGGTGCTGTAGCCCGTGTGCTGTAGCCCGTGTGCTGTAGCCCGTGTGCTGTAGCCCGTGTGCTGTAGCCCAGGGTGCTGTAGCCCAGGGTGCAGGCCGCGACTTGCTGCAGCGCCTGTGGACCTAGCCCATTCTAACACAGCTATCAAGGTCGTGCAGGTGCGGCTTGGTGCAGGTGCAGCCTAGTGCAGGTGCTGATGTCTGCTATGGGTATTACCCGTGCCCCACACGTCTGCCTGCACTTCGTGACCCAAGCATTCGTAAGCAGTATCCCTTTCCCCTTCTCCACCTTGGCCCTTTTCCATCGTGCCTTGCAGGGAGGCAAGTCAGTGGAGGTGCGGCCAGTGGGGGTGAGCAAGGGAGCGGCCATGGAGAGGGTGTTGGGGGAGATAGTGCACCAGAAGCCGCTGCCCTGCCCCTTTGACTTCGTCATGACTGTCGGCCACTTCCTCTCACGGGTGAGTCAAGTGCATGCACCTGTAAGTTTCCTCTCGCACCTGGGGCTTTGCCTTCGTCCCCTGCTTTTCGCGCTCTTTTACCCACATAACCCCCTGTCTTTCCTTCCCACCCACCAACAGGACCAGGACATATAACGCTTTTTTAAGCCAAACCCGATCTTCTAAACGCCTCAACCCCTCTTCCCACCCTCTTCCCCCTCCCACCGCCAACAGGACGAGGACATATACCAGTTCTTTGAGCCAGACCTGCCGCATGACAACAACATGCCCCCCCGGCATGGACGCTTACCAGCATGGCATCGACAGCACCTCCTTACCTACCTTCCTCCCTTCCTCTCACCCCTCATCTCCCCCACCTTCAACAGGACGAGGACATATATCAGTTCTTTGAGCCAGACTTGCCGCACGACAACATCAACAACATGCCGCCTGGCATGGACGGATACCAGCAAAGCATGGACGGCACCATGGGTCCCATGGATGGTAACTGCAGTGTATCCATGGATGGTAACATGGTAACCATGGGTCATGGGCCCTTGGACGGGGCAACCATGGATCAAGTCACACGGGATCATATCACGGCTCTTGAGCATGCTGATTCTTACCTTCCTGAGTATTACACTACCAGCCCCACCACCACATTCGATACAAGCACCACCGCTACAAGCACTCTCACCGCTCCGCACGATCGCTCCAATCCTCCTCCTGACACCAAGCCTCCCCCGGGCCTCCCTCCCGCACCTCCTCCGAGTGTCCCCGGACCTGACAGCCTGGGCGCGGCGCCACTGCCTATGTTTGCCGGACCAGGATACGGCAGCCCTGTGCCTCAGTCCGCGGCTCGAGGGGGAGGTTCGGGGCCGCTGGTGGCGCGGGTGATCTTTGGGGATCCGCAGAGCAGAAACCAAATGGAGGGTGGGGGAAGGCACGCTGGGAGGGATGGTGGTGCTGCCCCTGCCGCCGCCGCCGCCACTGCTGCTGCTGCCGCTGCCGCTGCTGCTGCTGCCGCCGCCGCTGCTGCTGTTGCTACCTCAGCAGCTGCCGCTGGTGCTTGGGTTGCTGCTGGTCCCAGCTCCCCCTCTCCCTCTTTCTCTGCTGCCAACGCTGCCGCTGCTGCACTCTCTGACACCTCTCCACGGCCCCACACTCCCGACTCTGTCACGGCACGCAGCAGCCGGCTTAAGGCCGAGTCCCGAGGGGGGGGAGGGGGCAACGATGGAGATGCAGCAGTAGGATCAGGGACAGGGGCAGCGGGGGTGGGAGGGAGTAGCAGTGGGAGGAGCCGAGGGGGCGGGCTGGGAGGGTTCCGATGGAAAGGGGGCAAGAAGTCTGAAAAGAAATCTGCCTTCTCCTTCTCCTCGCCGTCACTGGTCAGTCTTCTTGGGTCAGCTCTGGAAGGCGCCACGGGCAGCCCGAGAAAAACCAGCATGGGGCGAAGCAGCAGTGGCGGGAGGGGGGAGGCGGAGCTATGTTCCCCAGCTGCAAGCAATGCTGCTGGGACTCAGGGAGTGGGGAACGGGAGTGGAAGGCGAGAGGAAGCAAATGGAGCGGAGGCGGGTGAGAGATTGCTTGCACCGATCACTGGGTTTTCCAACCTGTCGAGCTTTTCAAGCCATTCTGGGACGACCGGCGTTTCAGATGAGTCAGGGTTTTCCACACAGGAGAGCTCGTCGATGCTTCCTACTGTGTTGGACTCTGAGGAAGATGGGCATGGGGAGGAAATAAGCCATCGGAGCAGTGGGGAGTATTGCCCGATTGTCGATCTCAACGCCGATTCATACTTTTCGTGTGCTGTGGGGCGCAAGCGGTCTTTGGCGCGATACTCGCTTGCAACCACTGATGATGTGGTCACCATGCTGAAGGCGATCTCAGATAGCTATGGCCTTGGCCCTGGATTTCGGACAGCTTAGCTTTATTTCTTAGGTTGCCAGTGCGCTAGCATATGCTGAACATGTTCAATTCTTGTTTTTTTTTCTGCGGGGCCCTTGTAATGAGCAATTCAGATAAGGCTTCTATCAAGGACAGTAAGGCTTCTATCAAGGACAGCCATTTTCCGAATATGGCGCTTTCGCAAGAAGTTTCTCCAACACGAAAAGCTTCGCAGCGAAGCCAGAAGCTCAAGCCGTTTTTCGCCGAATCGCACAAGTCAAGTACCCCTCCGATTGGAGCAATCGGAGCCGTTGAGGGAATAGCATCCACACGAAGAAGGCATTCGACATTGCAAATTTCTCGCGAAAGCACGCCTCACCGACACCTTCCCCACCAACATTTCCTCGTTTCAGTGCTGGAATAGCAATCCCCCCAGGCAAACCCCCTCAGTTGTGATGAGCAAGTCTGGTGGTAGTTTCAGCCTCCCTTTCCACGACTTGTTGCCTTGCTGGCATAACTTCTTTTCCGTCGTATCTACCTTCCCACAACGAAAAGAACCATGGCGCTAGGATGGATACTTTGTACTTATACTGGCGTACGTGGTTCCTACTTGGTACCTAAACCAACACGCAGCGACTTTCTGAAACAACTAGAGTCGTCACCAGCATCTCTGTTTGTGCACGCTTTTCAACAAACGCTTTCCTAGCAGCTCGAAATACGACAATCTAATCTTCGATGATGGCGCGTGTTAGCAAGGCTGTGGTATTTCTCACGCTCCTAGGCCTCGTCGCATCAGGTAAGACTCCAACGGCGAGGCCAACCTTTTCTTGCATCCCATATGTGTCATGCTCAGCACGACGCGACCACGTGGAGGATGATTCATTTTTTCTTTTTCTAAGCCGTCGTCAGTATGCTCATCTCTTCTCTCGTTTCAGGGGTTCTCGCCCAGGGACCCGGCTATGGCGGCGGCAGGGGTGGCGGAGGGCGCGGTGGACGGGGATTTGGTGGGGGACGCGGAGGTGGCGGCAGGGGCGGCGGGCTGGGACGGGGCCCTGGTGGGGGCCTTGGGCTGGGCCCTGGCGCCGCTCTGGGCACGTTCTACGGCCACGTGGAGGCTGATCTGACGGGCAACGGCAACATCACTGGACGCATGCACGTTGTTGTCTTCAAGTGAGTGCCATTCACGAGCATACTCCAGGCGTAGTACTATGCTTACAATGAAGCACTTCTCGTTCCTTGATTTCTTCGTTCTTGTGCGCTTTTCAACGTGTCATTCGTGCTTCCAATTCGTGCTTTTGATGCGTTGGTCAGGAACAACACCGACTACAATGTCCGTTACGTGCTGAGGATTGGCGGCCTGCCAACCCCAGGTCTTCCTACCGCTGCCGCCGTCCTGAATAGTAACGGCGACGCTGTCCTTGATTTCTCCGATGCCACGTGGACCAACACCACTGGCCAGCAGCCTTATGGCTACGGCTGGAGGAGGCGCAACCGCGCATGGGTCTTTGGTGTGTGTTTCCGTTACAATGCGACCGGGGTTTATTACAACGCGAACACAAAGACTACTGATGGCGGCAAGACTATTGGGTCTATTGCTGTGGCCATGGTTGCCGCTCCTGCAGCTTATAGTGGCCGCATCACTGCTCCTGGTGGCGTTGCTTCTGGCAAGTTCCACACCTGGCGTTAGAGATTTGCACGTGGAATGGGTGAGTTAGGGATGTATTGCTAGAAGTTTCGCACCTTTTCGCCAGTCAGATGCTAAGCCTGGAGTGGGTGCGAAACTTATTGCATTTATCTTTAGTTGATGCATGTGGACTTCGTGTCCAGCGGATATTTAGCAGGAAAAATATTTGTGTTTGTGCTGGCAGTGTTAGCAACATTTTCTTCCTATACGTAAATGTGTAACGAGCGTTTCAATCGTGAATGCTCGGCAACAGCCCAACGAAAACAAAAAGGGTCGAACCATCCAATGCAAACCAGCCAGCTGGGCGGAACAAGCACTGCCACTGGCACACTGCACGTTCGTGCCTGAAGTCGGATTCCATATCCACACGCAGCACGTTGCCGCATATGCTTCCACCCCAAACTGTTTTGGCTGCACACCGCACCACATTGTCAGCTTCCTCTATTGCGGTAACCATGCATCGCAAAGTCGTCGTTAGAGCGTGTCTGAAGTAAAACGTCGACGAATGTACAGTTTCGTCGAGGAATGTCGGAGAATGCCAACCCTCGGATCGAGTGTTCAGACCGTCAGGATTCCTCGACATCCCTCAAAGTTTCGTCGGGAAACGTCGACGTTCACTTCAGACACGCTCCTAGGGCGTGTCCAGCGCGAACATTTACCATTTATAAATCCCTTCAGATACCACGTTTTGGAGTTGTAACACTGCATTTTACAGAAAGTGTGGACACGACCGACTTTTGTACACGAGACGACACGCCAGCTGCACGTACCTCGCGTCGTGTGACTCACGTAACTGCATACAGCGTTTGCTTGAACTCGGGTACAGCATCGCGTCCAACTAGCTACAGTAAGTTCCCTTTGTATTGCTCGTACGATTTCGCCAGTGCCGCTCGACATTCGCCGAAACCCCCTGCGCGCTGGCGAAAATGCCTATCCTACTCTTCACGAGGGAAACGATTACCTCGGTTTCCAGGCTGTGTTGGCACTGCTGAAGTTTGTGTGGGGAGGAATGTGTCCGCGCGCTAGAAACTCGAGGAACTATGGACTAGGCTCAAAGGGCATTCGTTTTTAGGTACAGTGATCGGTTTTGTGCCCCGACACGTGTGTGGGCACTAAAATTCCCAAAATGAACGCCCTGGACATCCCCTTAGACTCGTTATCGCTCGTGAGCTTTAAATCTGTCGCTGACCGGCAAATGTCTCGTTGCACTTGTAACATGCCAGCAAGGCCTACAAACCGTCAAGGATAATAAACTGGCCACGGCAAAATTCACGGTTGCTTGTCAAACTATAACAAGGACGGTGGGGCAGTTCTTCCTTATCATAAAAAGCCAATGCAATTGTCAACTATCATGGGCGCTGCCAGCTGTGCGGCAGACGCGCCTGTGGGAAGACTGGTGGTGGCGGCGCCTCAGCGCCTACGACTCGCACACAGGAAAACGCCAGGCGCCGACAATAGTATGGGAGCAAGCCTCTGAGTGGTTATGGCGCGTTTGCGAGTTCCGGAGCTGCTGCCGCATGTTAAAAAGCGGCAACCACGCTGTCGATGGCGGAAAGCGGGTGTCCGGCGAATTTAGCATCCCCTATTCGATCATTTGAGCGTCACTCAATTGCTTTCGTTGCTTATCTGCCCTACCGAGCTGATTGATTGTTAGAGAAGAACAACCATCATGAGGCTGCACACACCTTGTTTCGCCGTCTGGTTGTTGCTATTCGTCTACGCATCCATAGCAGGTGCGGACCAATCCGACGTCTGAAATAGAAGGAAATTCCCCTGAGTTTTCGTAGCTATCCACCATATCCTTAGCTGCGAGCTTTAATGACCTCGCATTGACTTCGCCAATGAATTCTGTGTCCTTACAGAGGGCGTACGCGTGCTGGACGATGCCGCTGCTCAGCTAAGTGATTCTTAGAACAGACAGAATCTATCAACGTAGGCAATTCGGCAGCACGACCTGTGGAGATTAACTCTACAACGGTAGTGAGCTAGACTACAGGGGTTGGCACGAACTACTAGAGGTGATCTTAGCTTTGCTTAGTTCCTTAGTGTTTGCACATTCACGAAAGAATTTGGCAAGAGTTTTCACTAGCAAAGTTGGAATTCCAGAATAATCAAGAAGCAATGACAACAATGACTACATCAGGCACCTAGCAACCCTGCAGCCAGCCTGGTCGACCGCCAGCGCAGCTCGGTCGACCGCCTGCCAGCATTGCGTAGAGGAGCCGCGCCAGCACTGCAGAAGGGCGACCTGCCAACAAAGCAGGTCGACGGCGTGCCCCGTAGAACACAGCAGTGCGCGCGTTCACAGGTGTGCGCAGACGATTGGCCCGACTTGCCTCGTTGGGCATCCGTCGACTGTTTGTCTGCACCTGACGAGCCACATCGACTTCGGGATACCAGCCCAAAGTCGCCTGCGCCATCGCGATCTCGACGACGTTCGCGTGCCTCCGCAGAACTCGTCGAGCAGGTTACCCGGTCGACCTGGTCGACCCCTGGTGCTCTGGTCGACTCCCAGGTGCCTCCCGTCGACCACTGGGTCCCTCTGGTCGACCACCGGGCGCTCCTGGTCGACCACACCTCCCGTCAAGCTACCCCTTGGTCGACGGACCCTTTCCGTCGACCAGAACTGCTCTGTCGACCTCCCGGTCGAACTGCAGTTCGACGGGATGCTCCGTTGTCCTCCCGGTCGAGCTGCAATTCGACGGGACGCTCCGTTGACCTCCCGGTCGAGCTGCAGTTCGACGGGATGCTCCATAGACCTCCCCGTCGAACTGTAGGTCGACGGACTGCTTCGTCGACCTCCCGGACGGCTCACCCGTCGCCCAGGCCAGTCAGGTGCAGCTGTCGAGCATCCTGGTCGACAGCAACACCACAGTGGTCCGCTGCAGCTCGACGTAACCTGTCGAGCAGCTATCCCACTGTGAGAAGTCGGCTGCTACTTCCGTACATCCGACCAAGTTGTCGGCGTTGCCCAAGCGAGGGCGGGGCCAACACTTCATTCCCGTTAACACTCCCCTGCCGCGCTCACGCTTGGGCCTCCAGCCCTCACGGCAGTACTCCACGGAGAGAACTCGTCCTCGGCGTGCACCCCAGACACAGCACACCGTCACCGCACCAGCCGTGCAGAAGGGCACGGCACCTACTGCTGCACCTCGTCGTCGCCGTCGCCGACGTCGACCAGACGAACTTGTCCGATGGCGACAGAGCACCGGTTGAAAGCCGGAAAATGCAGCGCCTTCGTCAGGAAATCCGCCGGCTGCTCGGTGGTCGGGATGTAGTTCAGCACAAATTTCCCGCGCCTCACCATGTGCTGCAGCCACGCGTAGCGTCGTTCCATGTGCTTGAGGTTGCCCGTTA